TTGGAGAGCCTACGGAGCTGGGGGCGTGGCTGGTGGAGCCCAGAGTGGTGGTGGTAGGGAATCAAGGCTGTGCAGCACAGCAGCCCTCTGTGACCCAGTCTGACTTCTGTGGGGATTCGGTGAGCAAGGTGTGGCCCCAGCTGGGCTTCCCACGTCTGCAATCTAGGTCTTGGGCAAGTCGAACCTTTGCGCTCTACTCCAGCTGTGTCTAGGTATCCAGACCAGGCTGTAGATGGGAATCCCATTTTTTCTCTTCCTCCTCTCTCCATTGACCAAATCATACCAATCACTACAGCTGCTCTGCTTGTTCTGCTTTCCAAAGTCAACCCAGGTACCTGGGTGCCGCCCTCACCAGCCAGGAGCCTGGGCCAGATGCAGAGAAGGCGGCCTATCTGAATGAAGGCCAGCGCCTTCCTCACCAGGGCAGGTCCCACGCACGTGACCTCAGTTTTAGGACCAAGTGCTGTGTTGGATTCTTCAATTGCTAGCTTTTCCTCCAAGGGACCAGAGCTGGTAAGGCTCACAGCCCAGAGCCCTTGGCCCTGCTGGCGGTAGTTTGTGTTCCGGACCTTGTCCAGCTGAGAGCCTCGCATACGCCGGGTTGTTGAGAGGTATCAGCAGCACTTTGTTATAATTTGTTTTCCATGAGGCTTTTGGACCATGGGCTGAGCTCAGGCACTTTCTGTAAGAGAATGTTCTGTCTGTAAAGATGGTTATTTCCATTCCTCAGCCCCCATCTCAGTGGCCGTGCTGAGGGCTGACCAAGAGGCCAGTGGAACTGCCTGGTGGCTGTGGGGGAGGGCCAAAGCCTGCCGAGCTGATTATCCAGCTGTGGCTCCAGCCCTCCCACTGTGACGGCACAGAGGTGGTCACCCCAGGGACAGCCAGGTGTCTGCCTGGGGGAGGGGTGCTGCCTTCTGTCCCTGTAACTGCTTCCCATATGGCTCAACCTGGCCGTCCAGAGTTGTTCTAGAGCTGTGCTGACAGCTTCTTTGTCTCCTTTTGGTATTCACAACAGCCAGGGACTTGATTTTGATGTATTTTAAACCACATTAAATAAAGAGTCTGTTGCCTTACTTGTTTGTCTTCTGACCTTTGTGGTTGTTAGTGCATCTGGATCCATCTAGCTGGCACTGACTTGTCTGGCTCTGCTGCAAAACTTTTGGCTGTGCCCAGCTCTTGTGCATCTTCCAGAGTGCCCCTTCCCCCCCACCCCGGGTGCCTTCCAGGAATTCCCACGGGCAAATGCATTTGAGCTGCCCAAGCAAAACCGTTGCCAAAGTTGTCACGGTGCTCGTATACATAGAAAGACTCGATTTCTGGGGCGCCTGGGTGGCTTAGTCGGTTAAGCGTCCGACTTTCGCTTAGGTCATGATCTCGCAGTTCGTGGGTTCGAGCCCCGCGTCGGGCTCTGTGCTGACTGCCAGCTCAGAGCCTGGAGCCTGTTTCAGCCTGTGACTCCCTCTCTCTCTGACTCTCTCTGCTCACGCTGTCTCTCTCTCTCTCTCCTAAAAATAAATAAAACATTAAAAAAAAAATTTTTTTAAATGTCTTAAAAAAAAAAAGAAAAAGACTCGATTTCTTTCACTCAGTCAGGTGTTACCCCTGCCCACCAAGGGTCAGGCTAGCAATGAAGGATACATTTGGTTGGTTGGTTAGTTGAGCAGTCTGAATAACCAGTTCTGGGCTTGAACTCACAACCCCTAGGTTAAAGGTCCCATGCTCTACCACTGAGCCAGCAAGCACCCTGGAGTGCTTTTAGATGCAGAACCAGTGGTTCTGTGGGAGCATAAAGGAGGCCACTGTCCCCTTCAGCAGGGAGATGGGGGTAGACACCTGGAAAGGAATTATGACCCAAAGGGCAGGCAGATGTTTGACAACTTAGTAGTGAAGTAGTTTACCTAGAAATGCAGGCGCACAGGATGGGTAGTGGGAGGTCACCTGGAGCCTATGTGCCAGGTTACAGGGCAGGAGTAACCACTAAAAGCATTTAAATAGAACATTGGGAAGATCCACGAGGAAGGCATAAGGTAAGGAAACCAGAGAGCTAGGCATGGGCCAGTTGAGGGCCAAAATCAGATGGCTGGACGCTCATCACTCCTATTCATGGCTGTCTGCCACAGGCGGCATCTTTTGGCATTGACCTGCCTCTGAGTTCTTTTGATTTTGTACATTCCTTGAGAAGACCACATTCTGCATGGAATTCTGAAGAACGGGCTGGTTTCCTAAATACTCTTGTTCACCCTGCCAAGCCAAGGTGCAATAGTGAGGCTTCTGTATCGGGGGGCGGCGGGGGGGCAGGCATCCTATTGTGGCTTCAGCATCCTCTTCTCTCTGCAGCATGGGCTGGTCTGACAGGATGGTATGTGAGTGCCCAACAAATGTGGCAGAGACAACTCAAGGGCCCTTCCCTCCAGGCTTCCACAAGCAGATGTGTCCCCACTGGCTATGACATCCTCTCAGAGCCTCTGCCTCTTCTAATCAGGGTCTAAGTGGGTTGATACTTTTCTGTGCTGACCACTATGGTTCCCATCAGAGATCCATTGGAAGTTTTTTGCCCTTCCCCCCTACTCGTGCTCGCTTGCTTGCTCTCAAAAAACAAAATTAAAAGATTAAGGGGCGCCTGGGTGGCTTAGTTGGTTAAGCATCCGACTTTCGCTTAGGTCATGATCTCGCGGTTCGTGGGTTCGAGCCCCGTGTCGGGCTCTGTGCTGACTGCCAGCTCAGAGCCTGGAGCCTGTTTCAGTCTGTGACTCCCTCTCTCTCTGACCCTCCCCTGCTCGCGCTGTCTCTCTCTCTCTCTCTCTCTCTCCTAGAAATAAATAAAACATTTTAAAAAATTAAAAGATTAAAAAGATCCTTTGGAAGAAGTCAGGGGAGGCTGCTCCTACTTTTTTTTTTTTCATTACATGCAAATGTATTTTTTTTTTTTACAAATAGTTTATTGTCAAATTGGTTTCCACATAACACCCAGTGCTCATCCCCACAAGTGCCCTCCTCCATGCCCATCCCCCCTTCCCCCCCACATCCATCAGTCCTCAGTTTTTCTCAGCATTCAAGAGTCTCTCATGGTTTGCCTCTCTCCCTTTCCCCCACCATTTCCCCCCTTCTTCTCCCCTATGGTCCTCCGTTAAGTTCCTCCTAATCATCCTATACGTGCAAACATATGATATTTGTCCTTCTCTGCCTGACTTATTTCGCTCAGCATAACACCCTCAAGGTCCATCCATGTTGCTACACATGGCCAGATTTCATTGTTTCTCATTGCCATGTAGTATTCCATGGTATAGATAAACCACATCTTCTCGATCCATTAGTCTGTTGATGGACACTTAGGCTCTTTCCATGTTTTGGCTATTGTTGAGAGTGCCGCTATGAACATTGGGGTACATGTGCCCCTATGCATCAGCACTCCTGTGTCCCTTGGGTAAATTCCTAGCAGTGCTATTGCTGGGTCATAGGGGAGTTCTCTTGTTAGTTTCCTCAGGAACCTCCACACTGTTTTCCAGAGGGGCTGCCCCAGTTTGCATTCCCACCAACAGTGTAGGAGAGGCTGCCCCTACTCTTGAAGCTTAAAAAGCCTCTCTGAGAGTAGTTCAGCGTAGGGGTGCCCCCGGACCTGCCACCATTTTCCCAGAGGAGCCCTGGTGCTCCTCTCTAGCAACTGGAGGACAGTGACTTCCCAGTTGTCCCCTCTTTTTTTTATTTTTAATTTTTAACATTTATTTTTGAGAGAGACAGCGTGAGCAGGAGAGGGGCAGAGAGAGAGAGAAAGAGAACAGAATCCAAAGCTGGCTCCAGCCTCTGAGTTGTCAACACAGAGCCTGACGTGGGTCTTGAACCCACAAGTTGTGAGATCATGACCTGAGCTGAAGTCAGACACTTAACCGACTGGCCCACCCAGATGTCCCTCCCAGTTGTCCTCTCTGCCTGTGCAGACCCCTCCCTCCAACCTCTGGTTATTGAAAAAGTCCTGAGTTGATGTGTCCCTTTCTGGGACAGCCTAGGTGTTGGAAGAACCTAGGATAGAGCCCCTGCATGGGTGCCTGCGGAAAGGAGGGTTGGTAGGGGAAGGTGGACAAGGGCGCTCTGCACATTGCCCTGGGGCAGTTATTTGAGACTGCAGGGCAGCCTGGCCAAGGATAAGGCTGTCTCTTGTTGCCTCGGATGGTTCTCTGGGGACCTGAGCTGGGAACCTCTGCCAGGTCTTTAAATAGCTGCCCCATTGATCTGGCCTCCCAGGCAGTGCAAGCAGCGCTGGGTCGGCCTGCATGTGGTGCTCAGGTTTCCCTCCCAGGGGCTGGGGTCAAGTGCCAGGTAATCGTTCGGATTTCCCTCTGACCTGGTGCTTCCCACACGTGTCTACTAGAACTGGAAAAAGGGAAGGAGGAGGCTTGGTCCCATCACTTCCTCAGTGGCTGAAGATAGCCTCCACTGCTTACCAGTGAGGAGTGTCAGTATTGTGGAGGGAGTGGTATTGCCCTCAGACTATAACTGACTTTGAGCACATGGGACAGTCACTTCCTGCAGGATTGTTACAAGGATCAAATGCACATGGACCTGGACTCAATAGACGGTTGTCCTCTTGCAGTTTCTTCCTGCTGCTGCTTATAGGCTTATGTATATATATCTTGCAAGCTTATATATATTTTACATGCGTCTGTCCATTTTCTCCCCCGCCTCCCCCCCGCCCCCCACCCCCCGCATCCATATCCCTCCACCCTGGCCTTCTGACAACACCAGCACCGTTTTGTAAGGGACTGTAGGGTCTTGCGAAAACTGATGGGAAAGTGAGATGTTTAGATTTCCATCACACAACGAACATGGTGTCACCTTAGTTCAGGTAGGCAGATAAAGTCCAGTGAAAGGGACAGCCTGGTAACTGTTATAGGCTCCTCCTATCTTACCCCGAAGCACTGAAAAAGGTCACTTTCTCTTTAAATGCAAATTACCTCCTGTAAGCCCTGCTTCCACACGCTCTGCTCCCTAGGAGAGGAGCGCTAAGGGCGGGCGCAGGGAAGCACGCAGAAGCCTCACTCCAGACCCCAAACCTCCAGGTCAGTGGCCCGCTTCCAGGGTGTGGGGGGTGCGGAACATCGCGGGTCTGATGCTCCGTTTCGGATCCTGGCTCCCCAGCTGAACGATCCATTTGGCACACGGCTTTGAAGACCGAGCGTAGGAAGTAGATCCCAGGTGGCCCCCCGCCATTCCTGGGAAGCAGGGGCTCCTGCTCCAGTTCTTCTATCCTGTCTTTAATTGGGCCAAGCTTCAGCAACGCAAGGCAGAGGACGTGCTCCTATCTCCTCTCCACCACACACCCCCCTCGAGACCAGCCTGCCAGGTGCCGATTTCAATTCTTATGCCCCCTGTGCCGCCACCATCCTAGAGTGCAGACCCAGGCTTGGTGGCTGCAGCCTGGAGTGAGCAGCCGGGGAAAGCCCCTTAAAGGGCCCCGGGGCCTCCATCGGGAGGACCTCGGCAGACCTGAGACTCAGGGGGTGGAGCTGGACTGGAAGCTGAGCGGTACCAGCCACAGGCGCAGCCATTGTTGGAGGCCGAGACAGCCAGCTGCCCGACCACCCACCCCACCCTGGCCGCAGCTGAAGCAGAGCAGGGCCTTGCTGACTGGGGAGGGCGAAGCAGCTGGAAGCCTGTCCCAGGGAACTTCTGGGAGTTGCCTGCTGTTTGCGGTTAGGGGTGGGCGGAAGAGGAGGGATGCCAGTGTAGAAGTAGGGGAACCACGGTGAGCCCTGTCCCACAGGCTGTGGCTTCTCTCCCCGTCCCCCATCCACTGCTTGACACCGACGTCTTCCAGGTGCCCCCACCCACACCTTGGCCACCTCCCTTGCTGACAGGGTTTGTCAGCATCTGCCTGGACAGTTGATTAAACAGAAGGTCTAGTTAAGACACCCCTAATCCTCAACTGGCCTTTCCTGCCGGCTCACATCCACCCTCCCCCCCCGGGTTTCCTCTGCCAGCTCCACCCCTCAACTCCTGGGACAGGAAATCCCAGCAGCAGAGGGAGAAGCGTGTCTGGTCCAGCCCTTTCAGGCGGGGCTCAGGTTTTCAGCTAGAGCTGGAGGGCAGGTGGGGGGCCTGGGGTGGGCCACAGGAGGTCCTTCACATACACATCCGAGACCCCAGCAGTGAGACACTGGCATCTGGCCCTGCCCATACAGAGAAGGGGACAGAGGTCCCAGGGCCCTTCCTTTGCAGCTCTGGGTTGCTGGGTGAAGTGACGACTTAGCCTCTCGTTGTCTCAGCGGGACGTGAGGCTCAGCCAGCATCCGATGGAGGATAAGAAGAAGAAAAGGAGTCCGAAGCCCTGCCTGACACAGCCAGCCCAGGCCCCGGGCACACTACGAAGAGTCCCTGTGCCCACCAGCCACAGCGGCTCCTTAGCCCTGGGACTCCCTCATCTGCCATCCCCCAAGCAGCGAGCCAAGTTCAAGAGGTGGGTGCAGAAGAACAGCAAGGTGAGAAGGGAGGGACCCCTACTCAAGCCCTGTGGGAAGGAAGTAAAGCCAACCTTAGCCTAGTTACCTAGCAATGATTGTTGCCTTCCCTTGGGGCTAAGAACTCAGAGATGCCTCAGACCCAGTCCTTGCCCTCAGTGTAGGGAAAAGGCTAGATGGGTCACTGGGACCCCACCCTGTGCTGGTGCCCACCCTGTGCTGGTGCCCGGGAGTGTCATGGAGCAAGAGCTGGTAAGGGGATGCTCAGATGTACAATTTCAGTTTTCTGCTTAATTTTTCTTGATCATAGGGAATTTGCATCCTACCCTAAACGTGTCCCTGTTTGTTTCCCACGAAACACAAGGTGTTCTTTCTCCCATTACTGTGCCTCCCTGTGGCTTTGTACACCCCTGCCCAAGAGAGATGGGTGGGGACGGCCGCAGTAGGGTGTTGCTGAAGCTCAGGGTGGGCTCAAGAACAGTAGGAAATGCAACAGAAGAGAAGGGGTGGGCAAGGCAGGACAGGCTGGGAAGGGTCCTTCAGTGTTATCCTGGGGACAAAGGAAAACTCAAAACGGTTTTGAAGTAGAAGAGGGACACAGAAAGACATTTTTCGGAGAGGTGAGATGGCTCTAGTGGCAATAAGGAGTTACTGTCCCCGGTGAGGACAAGTGATTCACCCAGGGTCATGGGAGGAATGAGTGCGGGGCTCAGACAAGAACCCAAGAGCCACCTTCCAGGCATGGTTCTGGCTGTGAGTGTCAGCTGCAGAGAAAGACTTCCTTTGAGCTCTTCTGCCTACCCCTCTCCACCCACTCCCTTCCCTTACTAATCCTGGTGTCAGGATAGAACAGAACAAACATCGCTTTCTGTTCGGGAGTAGCTAGGAAGACGGATTAGTGCATAAAGAGATGGCATAAAAGACCTCCGGGTCCCAGGCCGCCCCCACATGGTGACCGTGGTCCATGCTCACCCCACCCAGGGTAGGCAAGGAGAAATGTCGCCCGGTGCTGGCCGGAAGTGGGGGTGGCTCTGCAGGCACCCCGCTGCAGCACTCCTTTCTGACCGAGGGGACGGACGTCTATGAGATGGAGGGGGGACTGTTGAACCTGCTCAATGATTTTCACTCGGGCCGGCTGCAGGCCTTTGGTGAGTCCTGTGGGCTGGGCTGAGAGGGTGGGGAGGGGGGTGGGGCGCGGCCCAAGGGCCTGGTCCCTGGGCGGGCGGCTGGGGCCAGGGTCCCAAGCTGCTCCCAGGGCTCAGACAGGTGTTGTCCAGGGAAGGAATGCTCCTTTGAGCAGTTGGAGCACGTGCGGGAGATGCAGGAGAAGCTGGCCCGGCTGCACTTCAGCCTGGATGTGTGTGGGGAAGAGGAGGAGGAGGAGGAGGAAGAAGACGGGGTCACTGAGGGATTGCCTGAGGAGCAGAAGAAGACGATGGCTGACCGCAACCTGGACCAGCTGCTTAGCAATGTGGGTCGGGGCTGGGTGCTTTGGTTCTTGGGGGCTTTAGAGGGTGGGGGAGGCGCATGATCCTAAGACTAGTCCTGGGCCCCGTGGGGGGTGTGTGTGAAAAGCTGGGGGTACATGGAGCCTCAGCCCCCACCAGAAGATGGCTGGCACAGCATCTGGGTTTGGGCCTGGTGCCTCTCTTAATGCAAACCTTCCTCTCTCTCTGTTGACAGCTGGAAGATCTCAGTAACTCTATGTATCCTTTTCAGGGGATCTTGCAGCAGTGGATGTGTGTCCCCACCTCCCACAGAAGAAATCAGTTTTCTTCTCCCCACCACCTTCTAGTAGTATTTACAATATAACCAACATCTTCCCTTTCAGTCCTGCTAAAGCAGACTTAGCCACAAATGGCCCCCACGCAGATTTCTCCCGAATATCAGGAGGAAAGTAGTTGCAGGGAACATGATTTATCTACTTACGAAAATCTGCGCAAGTGAGGCCCCTGGCTGGCTCAGTCCTAGGGCCTGCTGCTCTTGATCTCAGGAACATGAGTTCAAGCCCCGTGTTGGGCTTAGAGCCTACTTAAAACACAAAAGCCAAACAAAACCAGAAAAATCTTTGCAAGGACTTTACTGACACAAATCCATGGCAAAACGTGTCTGATGTCTTTCTACTTTTTCAACATTTGGCAATTATTTTCACTGATTTAGATGATCACCGCAGGTAGTCTCAGCCAGAAATTGTGCCGGTGCACGTACCTGCACCATCTAGACCAAAAGAGAAGGGGGGAAGCCACCTAGCAAGAAGGGCAGGTGTGGATTGCCGCCTGGACCACGGACCACCTGAGTCCTTCGCCCCTGCCCTTTGCGCAGTTGAGGAAGCTAAGCCTGTTCGGGATGGGGGAGACAGGGCTGGAAAGGCTGGGGTCCCAAGCGTCGCAATCCTTGACTGGCACAGACAGAAGTTGCACCTGGCCGAGAATGCCGAACCTGAGGAGCAGTCAGCTGTGTAGGTGGCGGACCCGGGCCCAGACTGCCTCTCTTATCTCTTCAAACTGTGACTTTTTACGAACTCGATTGGGCATTCCGCGGCCCCCCAGGTGCTATGGGGGAGGGGGGCGCTGGGTGAAATTAAACCAGAAAGAAAGAAAGACACCGGCTCCGTGTGCTCTCTCCCCTCCTTGCGCCTTTACTCGGCCAGGTCCCCGGCCTCCGCAGAGACACCCCTGCGCGACACACTGGTTTGGGCGACTCGGGAGCTGTAAACGCCAGCATAACTCTGTGAGTTGGAGTCGGGGGCAGGCGCCAAGACGCTGCCGTCGGAGGAGCGTGGTTGCCGTGGAGACGGCGGGGGCGGGGACCGAGCGCAGCGCGGACTAGTGACGCACAGCGCAGGCGCCCGGCAGGCGGCCGTTCAGTTGGCGCCGGGATGGAGCGGGAGCGGTTGGTTCGCGGGGCGTTGGTGCTGCAGGTGCGGAGCGGGCTGGGAGTGCAGGATTCCCACCCTGGGGTCTCGGAACGAGATGAGGCTTCGACGTTCAGTCACTTACCCTCGTGCCCGCGTCCGGAGTTACAGACCCACCCCCACCGCCCTGAAGAATGCCGGGACCCATGGACCCCCACCGGCCTTCCACTCCCGCCACACGTTCCTGCGGGATCCAGGAAGTGGCGAGAAGGGCCTCCAGTCGTAGGGGGGGAATCCAGTCCAGCATCCTCCCCTGAACCCCCGGAGACTGTCCTGACGCACAGGGTCACCTATCCTTAGAGTCCCTGGGATGAGCTCTCAGGAGAATCCCCCAGATGCCCCAACTTTTGCAGTGATAAGCGTTTTCTTTCCCCTTATTCTCCACACCAGGCCTGCGTCCGGGGTTTCTTGGTCCGACGCCACATCCAGAGACTGCGAGAGGAGTATGAGGCTGTTGTACGAGAAATCGAGGGTGATCTGGGCACGCTTCAGTGGACTGAGGGCTGGATTCCCAGGCCCCAGTTTCTCCCAGAGGTAGTACTCACCCCAGTGGAAGAAGGGGGGGAGGAGGGGCCTGGGCAGGGGGTTCAAGGAAACGTTAGAATCCACCTACCTAATAACAACATTTTTCTCAATGGAAGGACAGCAGACTCCACTACTTGCATCCCAATCCTTAACCCTTACTGCCTTATGTGCTAAATGTTGGCACCCAGATATTCGGAAGGTCTAGCTGGGGTGTTCTCCTACTTCTGATTCCTCAGAAAGCGAAATCCCATCGGACCTGTAAACCCCAAGGGAGGGCACCAAACCCAGAACAGCACCGGCGGGGCCGCTTCTCACGAAACGAACCTGAGAGGGAGGCTGTCTTGGGGGAGAAGATGCTGAAGCAGTCCAGAGAGAGCTCGGCAAGCTCAGGAAGTCTTCCCTGCAGAGGCAACAGCAGTCCCTGGCCTCGGGACGAGCACAGCAGGTCAGCCAGGAATCCCAGCCAAGAGGAGACCAGAGACACGCCAAGGATGGAGAACCCAGGTACCTCTCTGCCCAGACTGAGGGCAAACCCCTGACACTCTCTGGGCCTTAGCGTTCCCATCTGAAGCGTCAGAGGCTTGTGCTAGGGAAGCCGGATCTCTCTCCTTTCCGATGCCTGGTTGAGGGCAACTAAGGGGCGGGCAGGGAGAGAACGTCAGGACCAAACGGCAGGCCAGTGTCCCGTGTATATACCCCTAAAAGCCTTCTCCCTTTTTTCCTCCCCCCTTCACAGAAGCTGTAGGTCCAGGACTGCCCCACAGCCAGCCCGAGCTCCAGGAGCTCCAGCACCACCACAGCCACTTGGCCATGGAACTGCTGTGGCTGCAACAGGCCATCAATAGCCGTAAGGAGGTAGCCACTAACCCGGAGCCTTATCTGCACATTTAGGGCCAAGGGAGGGGGTTAGGGAAAAGCCGCCTGCTACGCTCAGGCAGTCCTGCCTGGTACAGTGTCTTTTCTCTTCTTCAACAGTACCTAATTCTCAAACAGACACTGGCATCCCCGGAGGCAAGCCAGACAAGAGACAAGGCCAGCCTGTGCCCAGACCTCAGGGCCCAGACCTGTGAGAGGCCTGGGTCACAGACAAGCCCGCCACTGAAAGACAAGTCGTACAGAGACAGGACCACGGAAGGGCCAGACCATGTGGGTAACTCCTGCTGGAGGCTGAAGTCACAACCCCACAAGTGCCTGGAAAGCCTGGCCGCTCCAGACAAAACCGCTGCTGGGGTCAAGTGCAGGGATCCGTGTAGCAGGAGGGCTGGAGCACAGCTGCCCACACCATCCGATAACCAGGTCTCAGAGAACAGGCTCGCCGGAGAGCCACACCGTGGAGAACAGCCCTCGGGAGGGCCCAGCCTGCCGCTGACCAGAGTCCTGGAGGACCAGATCCCCAAAGGCCTCGAACCCCGGGGCTGTTCTGCAAAAGCCAGGATGCGGGTGGCCACACTCTGTGATGACCCAGATGTTGAGGACAAGTGCCCCAGAAAGCCAGAATGCAAAGAGCCTGAATGCCAAAGAGCCAGGCCACAAGAGTTGGACCTCTCAGAGGACTGTGGCGGCATCTGGGATGAGACCTTGGCAGAGCCTGGAGGCCAGGACCTCTGGAAGACTAAACCACCCAAGGGCCAGATCCCTAGTGAGAAAAGCTCCAGAGGTAGAACCTCCAGTGAACCTAGCCATGAACAGTGGAACAACCAGAGAGCTGTATCCTGGCGATCGAGGCCACCTAAGAAACTCTCTTTGACAGAGTCTGCCCACACAGAAGAGGACCACAGGAAGGATAAGTCATGGAAAACAGGACCCCCAGGCTAGACTCTGGGGAGCCAGCGCCTCACCCTTGCTCCCTGGTACTAGCTCTACCTCCTGCCCTTGGCCGTTGGTGGCTCATGGGGCCAAGAGAAGCTGGAGCAAAGAGCTGGGCGCCGGTATAGGGAGGGGAGGGAGGAGGACACTCTTCCATCCTCTGCCTGTGGCTTACTCCAAATTTGGGGCCAGGCAATTACCTGGGGTAAGTAAAGTGGGGAGCCTGGTAGAGAATAAAGGTTTTTCTTGGATTCTGCACCCGGCTGTATTCATCTTCTGCCTCTGTTCAAGACACACACTGGGCCCACCAGTTCCTTTCCTGTGGGCATGGGGCATCTTCCCCAGGGCTGGCCGGGAACCACAGTCCAGGGGCAGTCTAGCCCTCCTTAGAAACAGTCCCCAAAGCTGATCCACCTTTGAGCTCAGCCCTTGGGCTACAGAGTGGCAGAGAGAGTTTCTCCGTCCGTCCCCTACAGGAACATCTGGGTTTCAGTGCGGTCTCTGCCACCGCCTCCTTCACCGAGCCCCAGGGTCTTCCTTTCCAGTACAGCGATCAGATCCACCCTACTCTTGTGAAGCCCCACCCAGGGCAGACTGGATGCGACCCTGAGCACAGACAGATGCTCCTGCAGTCTCTCCCCACCTTCCTGGGCGAGGGTGCAGGGCTCCACCTCTGATCGGCACTGCTCCCAGCCTGCCTTAGTTGCCTGGCAACAGTCCTGCGTCTCTTGCCGAGGACACACTATGGCCAGTGGCGGCAATCCAGCAGCCAAGAGGGTAGTGGTGTACCGGAATGGGGACCCCTTCTCCCCAGGCCGCCAGCTGGTGGTGAGTCAACGCCGCTTTCCCACCCTGGAGACCTTCCTCTGCGAGGTGACATCGGCTGTGCAGGCCCCAGTGGCTGTGCGGGCCCTCTATACGCCTTGTCACGGCCACCCCGTCATGGACCTGGCAGACCTGCAGAACGGAGGGCAGTATGTGGCTGCTGGCTTGGAAAGATTCCGGAAGCCGCAGTGAGTGGCCTGGGGCTGCTGAGGGCCGCGGGAGGGAGGCAACGGCAAGAGCAGTAGCATGTGTTCAGGACTTCGTATGTACGCGCAGGCCCTTTACCTGTTCTCTCCTGGAATACGGCAGCCCCACGCGGGAGGCGGTCCTATCCCTTTTGTTTAGAAGGAAATCAAGAAAGTTAAGGACACCTGCCTATGTACACAACAAATGGTGGAGCTGTGGCTCCGGGCGAAGTCTGATGTTTGTGCCCATCACAGTCAGGACCAGAACATTCTCCTGCGGGTTGAGCCCCTTTTTGCAAAGGCTCTTGATTGGATTCCACCACCTGCCACCAACAAACACTTAAATGCATCTTAGCACTTCCTCCTTGCTGTGATCAGGCCTCCTGTGCTCCCCACTGCGCAGGGGCCCTCCCTGGTGCATGGTGGGGCCTTCCCTTCCAGAATGGAGAAGGGAACTGAGTGTCTGAGCTTCCAGGTGCTCCTGAGCTGTTTGTTGTAGGTAGCACATGGAGCCAGGGGTGGGAACCTGGGCCCTGTCACCTGGTACTTCTGTGTTACTTTAGGTGAGTACTTAACTTTTGAGTCTTCTAGAAAATGAGATAAAACCTCACAAATGAGAAAACGTATGAGATACAGCAAGATGCTTAACAAACTCCTTTCTCTTGACCTTTAATCTTAATGGTTTGTGTCTGAGACCCCAGTCTGTATGGACAGCCTGATGCAGGGCCCTGAGACAGGGTCAAGGGCCAGTATGTGTCTGGACTGAGGTATCATGAGACTGTCCCAGTGGGAATGGATACCTGGTAAGCTGAGCCTCAGACCGTCACTCTGGCAGCTGGGGTGTTGAGGTTCCAGGCTCCCAAGATGACCTGTGACCCATCTGTCTTTTCAGCTCTTTACCCCCTGGACTGAACGCTCCAGGCAGAAAGAGCAGCAGACTATCAGTGAGTGCCGGGGGGAGTGCTGGCTTCTAGCCCTCTGTCTTCTCACCCCTCTTGGGATTGTTTCCAGTTTGGTCTGGGAAGTCGGGCCCTCAGGTAGCAGGAACTGCCAGTCCCATGGGGAGGGGACATGGGTGGGGGGACTTTCACCCTCTCTGGAACCGGCTGCGACCCCTCCTGGGGTGCAGGATTTCAAGATGCTACCCCTTACCCCTTTCCCAGCCTCTCCCTTTACCTCCAGGTTGTGGTCCCCAAAGGGAAGAGTAAGCTGTAAAACACATGGGGCCAAGGGAATGGTTGGAATGTGACTTCCGGGAGGCAGAAGCTCCCTTTGGTGAAAGGTGTGACCAGTCCCGCCTCTCCCGCCCTAACCCCTCCTTCAGCCACCCTTCTCCCCCCTAACCAAAGGCCTCAACTCTCTCCTGATCTGGGGGCCTGACCTGGGTTTCAGGGTCCTCCTGTGACTCAACACCCATGTGATGGGGCCTGTGGACCACGGCCACCTCCAGGTTCCCCCTGCTATATCCAGTGAGTGCTGGCGTTGGGAGCAGCAGCATAGATCTTGTTTCAGTAAGGCCGCGAAGATGTGGGTGGGATTGTTCCAGAAGCCCCTGGTCTCTGGTGGGGATATAAAAAGTCCCGACATGCCTGATGGGTGAAGATGGACCAATGTTCTTAGACCATCTTCCGGCCCCGTGCTACCCTTCCTCCTCTCGTACATGGGAAGTTCTGGGGACCCTTCTTACCAGGCTGCTTTTTGTCACAGCGTGTTCAGGAATGGGGACCTGCTAAGTCCCCCATTTAGCCTGAAGCTGTCCCAGGCTGCCAGCGAGGACTGGAAAACAGTGTTGAAGCTCCTGACCGAGAAGGCCAAACTACAGACCGGAGCTGTGTGCAAGTGAGTACAGGGCCTGGGGGGACCCAAAAGTCCCTGGAGGGGCTCCCTACTTATTTCGGCTGTCCTTGAGGGCAAGAAGGCAAAAGAAAAGCACGTTTCCCCCAATGGGACTTCCTTCTATGCTGAGCCGTTGGAGCCAGGGCAGAGCCCAGGTGACTGGCCCAGATGTCCAGAGGGCGAGTGGCCACAGGGTACCTTGGAACAGCTGTACCCACCCCCATCAGTCTGCTGAATATGAACAGGCATCTTGTCCACCGGCCCTTAGCCACCTGCCTCTCCCTCCCAGACTCTGCACCCTGGAAGGGCTCCCACTGTCAGCAAGAGAGGCTCTGGTGAACGGCCATTACTATGTGGCTGTGGGAGAGGAAGAGTTCCAGGCCCTCCCCTATCTGGAGCTGCTGGTGCCCAGCCCCTCACTGCCCAGGGGCTGCTGGTATGTACGTGTGAGGTGGGGGTGGCAGGTTAGAGCAGCGGGGCGCCACCCTGATTCCACGTCCTTCTCGGCCTACTATGAACCCTTCTTTTTTTTTGCAGGCACCCTCCGGACCCTAAGTCTAGGCCCCAGAAGCAGCGGGTAGGTGATGGGGGAGGCCATGGGAGGCAGGAAAGGAGAGGGGCGACTGGCTGACCTCTCCCTCCTCCAGCTCAGGCTCTCACCACACCTCCCTGCATCCTCTCAATGACCTTATGAAATAGAGGTTATCATTCCCATTTCCTAGTGGAGACACTGAAGTTCAAAGGAGTGAACTCTTGTTCAGGATGACACAGTGATTGAGTGGCAGGGGCCAGACCAGAACCTGGACTAAAAGACAGCTCTGCCAGGCTCTCTGAAGATCTTTAGACTGAGTTGCTGGTCCTAATGCCTTCCTGGCAGCTTGGATGTTGGGAGAGAAACTGGCATATCTGGCATAGCAAGATCCAAAGGAGCTTATCTGCTCCCCAGCTGATTCCAGACCTGAGCCCTCCCAAAAGATGAGCCAGTGTGCATTGGCTGGGGGGTGGGGGGGGGGGTTCGGAGGACACAGCCTGGCTTCACTGGGCCTCTTGAGTGCCAGGCACCAGCTGTTCTGTCCCTGGATAAGGCAACCTGATGGGAAGAGGGAGCCGGAGGGAACGCACAGGCTATGAAGATGGACGGCATCTCCCCAAGCTCCCGCAGACACCAAGGGCACTCAAGCGTGGCCTGGCAGGAGAGAGGGCAAGAGCAGCCAGTACCCATAGCCCAAGCCCAGTATTCCCTCTACAGGCCCACGGCTGTGGGGCACAGGCAACCCAGCCCTCTCCAAAGGAGCCGAGCCAAATTGAGCCATCTGCTTTTTATGCCAGACGCCAGCAGGCCATTCAGCCAAGAAGCAGGCTCCCCACTCTGTCATTTCCATCAGGTGAGGGGACCTGGGCCCCTCTCACCCACCCTCTGACAGTGACACACGATGGGCCCTGCTATCGTGGGAGAGGTCCATGGGGGCAGAATGCCAGGGTACAGAGCCGGCCTTGACCTCAGCACGGATCTTTCCTGCTCCCCCATGTGCATACCAGTCCCTGGCCTCTTTGCGGGGACCTGGCAATATGAAAAGCGCAGGGAAGCCCAAAGCACTGAAACTTCAGCGGGGGGGCTTGAAAGGGATGGGGGCCGAAGGCCTGCCTGGGAGCTATGCTGCCATCCTCTGAGGTATTAGGGAAAGTGGAGCAAGGCTCAGGGGAGGGCGGGGGCTGGGAGAGGTCAGGGGAAAAGCGGCTCCTCAGCCAGGGCATCAGCTGGCACCGCGTCCCTCATTAGGAGTCCAGGGAGTATACAGGGCTCCCCGCCCGCGGAAGGAGACAGCAGGGGCCCAGGAAGTGCCGGATGAAGAAGCCGCCTGCGCGGAGGAGCGCCTGGGTCAGGTGTGCTGGGGCTGCCAGCAGTAGGTTGGTTCAGCAGTTCTGGGCTGGACTGGCAGCCCCGGGTCGCGGAGCTGTTCCCCCTTGGGGCTGTAAGCAGATTGAACTCCCCAGGCCCGACCTCCTACCTTGTTAAATGAGAAGCAGATCCAAATTTCTAAAGTCTCTCCTTTTCCTGGGGTCAGAAACTTCAGCTGAAGGCTGGAGGAGACAAGGGATGCTGATGCTCCATTCTGCGCGGCCTCCCGTCCCCTCCAGAGGGCACCGCAGAGGGTGGCCGAGGCCGTGGGCCTGGGAAAGCAGCCTGGGACCCCGCAGCGGACTCAGCCGCAGGCCCGCCTTGGCCGTCTCTGGTGCCAGCAGCTCCAGCCGGGAACTGGGGCGGCCACTCTGCAGCCACCGCTCGTCCTTGCCTCCAGCAGCCCGTTCCAGGGGACCCAGCGCCCCACCTGGCCTCACAGGATAGCCTGTAGCCCCCTCAGCCCTGCCCCACTCCTCCCAAACCCGCATCCTAGTCGTACTCGCCTTCTGAGCAGTGCAGCCCTGGCCAGAGAGCCAGCCAGCCTGGGGGGAGAGGCTACAACTCGGGAGCAGGTCCGTCACAATAAAAGAATACTTCCTCTCCTCCATCTGTTCAGTGCGGGTTTATTTGAGGCTACTGCTCGCCAGGTACTGTGCGCAGGGCCGGAGTGAGGTGGGGCTGGGCCCACAGGCGGCCCTGAGAGGGGGGGCAGGTGAGGACTCCTGCCCACCTGGGGGGGGGGCGCGGGACAGGCAGAGCTACGCGCCCGCTCGTCCTCTCTACACCGGCCGTTCATCCCCGCGGCTCCCCCCTCAGCCAGCGGAGGCCCCCGACGGCCCTGGAAGCCTCCTGCCTGCGTTTCCGGCTCGGACTGCAGCTGGCCGTCCCCATGCAGTCCACAGAGCCTGCCGCTGTGAGGTGGGCCAGGCCGCAGTGGCAGCGGCTGGGCTGGGGGCCGGACAGCAGAGAGGGCTGCTGGGGCGCAAAACCTTTGCTGGGGGAACGGGAAGTCTCCCGTGCTAGATCCTAGCCGTTGACCAGATGTTGGAAGTTCCGAAACCCTTTCGCCCCAGTCTTCTCGGGCAGCCCACCACGAGGTAGCTCTTAGCCCCCTAAGAGAGGAGGACACGGAGGCCCCGAGAGGGAAGTGCTAGGTCCACCTGCTCGCCAGCTGCACCTCACGCTGGGGGCTCCCTGGAGACAGAAGTGCTGCAGGGCGGCATCGGCCGGCTCAGAGGGCAGACAGCTGCCCCTGGGTCTTGCTCACGGAGCTTGTGACGCAGAGTGTAGTTCCTGCCACGGTGAGCACCATGCCTGTGAATGCTCCTGGGAGAGGGGGCAGAAATCGGGGGGCTGAGGCCGGCCATGCTAGGAGGAGCTGGTGCAAGGCTGAACTCAGATGGGGTCTGTCCCCAGAATGCCCAGGGGAAGGAAACTCTGATGGCTCTAAGGAAGAGCTGCAGAGGAAAGGGGTGGGATGGGGAAAGATCCTCTCCTCCTCTGCCTTGGGAGATGGCTTCCGGAAAGGAGTAACCAGGCGTGGCAAGGCCCAAGTAGCGCTTCCTGGCTTCCCACACTTGCAAGCGGTTTAACTTACCTTTTCCACCAATATCTTCTCCGAGGACTTTCCCAACAATCAGTGTGAAGACGATGGCCAGGGAGTTACTGATGGGTACAGCTAGCGTCAGATCTGAGTGATCAGAATGAAAAAAAAAATCTCTGAGATGCCGAAAAATGCCTTTTTTAATTTACTTAAAAAAATTTTTTTTTAAATTAGTTACTTTTGAGAGACAGAGAATGTGAGCAGGAGTGGGGCAGAGAGAGAGGGAGACACAGAATCCAAAGCAGACTCCAGGCTCTGAGCTGTCAGCACAGAGCCCGACGTGGGGTTCGAACTCACGAACCTTGAAATCATGACCTGAGCTGAAGTCAGACGCTTAACCAACTGAGCCACTCAGGCATCCCAAAAATGCCTTTTCAGGCACAAAACACAGTTTATTATGACAGCCTGTTTAAAAAGAAAAAGAAGTATCTCTTTCCAGATGAAATCAGGGCAAAGCTCAAGATTCAAGCCAGGCTTCCTGACTGTAAATTCAATGCCCCCTCAATTCTAGCACAAAGACCTCAACTAAATGGTGGTCTGGGACCACCCGGGTTTGCTGATAAGGATGAGGTCTTTGTACTCAGAGAGCTTCCGAGATCTCGGGGATGTCTGGACAGACAGGCCACAAAGCCCGAAGGATGCAGGAGGATGTGCAAAAACACAGCCACCACCTGGTGCAAATTGTGTGCTGGGCGCGTTGCATACATGCCTTACAACAACACTGCAAGAAGAGCACTGTCATTTTGCATAAAGGAAACAAAAGCTCAGAGAGGACACAGAAACTGAGGCCAAGTGAGAATTTTATTCATTTAGTTTTAATTTTTTTTTTGAGACAGAACGTGGAGGGGGGGGGGTGCGGAGAGGATCCCAAGCAGGCTCCCACTGCCAGCGCAGAGCCGGATGCAGGGGCCTGAACTCACAAACTGTGAGATCATAACCTGAGCTGAGATCAAGAGTCAGATGCTTAACCGGCGGTGCCACCCACGCACCCCTATCTTCTTAAAAAGTTACACTTACGGCTTTTTAAGAAGATAGGGGCACCTGGCTGGCTCAGTTGGTACCGCAGGTGACTCTTGATCTCAGGGTCATGAGTTCAAGCCCCACGTTGGGCATATCATTTAATTTAAAAAAATAAAAAACTTTTTAAGAAGATAGACCTCCTGTTAAGTGTGCTTACTACATGAGCATACAAAAAAAAAGTTTAAATCAGAAACTGAGCTACTTATGATGACAAGACTAATCACTGCCAAGCCAAGGGTTCATGCTGGCTCCTCAGTCAGCTCATTCCTCCCCGGCATTCCTGGCCTCACCTGCTTCAGGAAGAGGAGGAATGTCCTGCTTCGCATCCCGAGAGCCCCCACCACGGATGGCATTCCTCATCCAAGAAACTGGCCCAACTACCTACTCAGAGCTGCTTCCTGGGGCTCACACACCTTCCACGGAATGCGAGGGCTGCTGACGACTGGGGTGCGACAGTAGATGGGGATGGGAAGCAGCACAGGGCTGTGGAAGAGCAAGGGCACTGGAGTGAGGCCAACCTTGGTCTCCCTGTGCCGCCTTGGTTAGGTCCCTGTCCCCTGTGGCCTACACGTACAACAGTGATAGAAAGGTGACAACATCTCCGCACCACAGAGCCGCGGGGAGATGAGACAGGATAATGTGTCTAGCCGCTGGCTGAAGATGTACACCCTTGATAAAGTGACCACTGTTGTTGATTCTAGAACAGGCAGATGCTAAAGGATGGGACACTGAGCAGGAGATGAGATGTTGCCATTTTCTCAAAACTTGGTAAAGGGCTAACTGCAGTCCGCTGGCGTTCCTGGGCAGCAGGGAGTGCCAGAGGCTTCCAAACTTTCTTTTCTTTATTTATTTCTCAAACTTTTTTTTTTTAAGTTTTATTTAAGTAATTTCCACACCTAACATGGGGCTTGAACTCACGATCCTGAGATCAAGAGTCGCACGCTCTACCGACTAAGCCACCCAGGTACCCCTCAGATTTTCTGTTACACAATGTTTTAAGGGACACCTGGATGGCTCAGTCGGTTTAGGCATCTGACTCTTGATTTCGGCTCAGGTCATGATCTCACAGTTCGTGACATTGAGCCTTGCATCGTGCTCTGTGCAGAGCCTGCTTGGAATTCTCTCTCTGACCCTCCCCCACCCTCTCTCTCAAAATAAACATTATTTATTTAAAAAAATTTTTTAATGTTTTTTATTTATTTCAGAGAGAGGGAGCGTGAGCAGGGGAGGGTCAGAGAGAGAGGGAGACACAGAATCTGAAACAGGCTCCAGGCTCTGAGCTAACTGTCAGCACAGAGCCCGACACGGGGCTCGGACCTATGAACCATGAGATCATGACCTGAGCCGAAGTTGGACGCTTAACTGACTGAGCCACCCAGGCGCCCCAATAAACATTTTTTTTTTAATGATGTCTCGGGGCACCTAGGTGGCCCAGTTGGTTAAGCATCCAACTTTTGATTTCGGCTCAGGTCATGATCTCAATGGTTTGTGGGTTCAAGCCCCACATTGGGGCACTGCCAGCCTGAGATTCTTTCCTTCTCCTTCTCTCTCTGCCCCTCCCCCACTCATGCTGTCTCTGCCTCTCTGAAAATAAATTTTTAAAAAAAGGTTTGTCTTATGAAAAGCCCCAAATGTAAAATAGATAAAAAAGTACAGTGCTAGCTGAAACTGAGTGGCAGCCCTGGAGGTCAGCCTGTCTCCTCGCCCTCCCATGGCCTCTGAGGGGTTCCCCTGAGCTATCTGGGGCCCAGGTGAGATTCCAGAGGAAATGAAACCACAGCAGAGGGACTTCTCAGCGTGAAGTTCAAGAACATAAACTTGAAGCCATACATAGCTTCAAATCCTTCTGCGCTAACATGCTTAGATCTTCAGAGAAGGGAAATAAATTGTCCCAAATTTTGTAACTTCATCTCCTACAAGAAGATCATCATGTCTGCTTCAAAGCAGCATGATCAGAATCCAAGAGGCCTGCCTCATTTTCTTGCACTTCTCTTGATTGTACTTCACAGATACCATGTTTTTAACAAATTGAAAGTCTGTGGAAACCCTGCATTGAGCAAGTCTATCGTTGTCATTTTTCCAACAGCACTGGCTCACTCTGTATCTCTGTGTCGCATTTTGGTAATTCTCGCAGAATTTCAAACTTTTCATTATTATTATATGTGTCCTGTAGATCTGTGATCAGGGATTATGACTTGCTGAAAGCTCAGAGGACGGTTAGCATTTCTAGCAATATAGTATTTTTTTAACGTTCACTTATTTAAGTTTATTTATTTTGAGAAAGAATGAGCGGAAGGGAGGGGCAGAGAGAGAGAGAAAGAGAGAGAGGATCCCAAGCAGGGCTCCACGCTGTCAGCATGAAGCCCTATGTGGGGTTCAAACTCACGAACCGTGAGACCATGACCTGAGCCAAAGTAGGACCAACTGAACTTAACCAACTGAGTCACCCAGGTGCCCCAGCAATAAAATATTTTTTTAAGATTAAAAAAAAAAAAGATTTAAAAAAAATTTTTTTAAAGTATTTTTGAGAGAGAGTGCACATGCACCCAGGCGGGGGATGGGGAGAGAGAGGGAGACACAGAATCCAAAGCAGGCTCCAGGCTCTGAGCTGTCAGCACACAGCCTGATGAGGGACCCAAACCCACAAACCGAGGCGAAGTCGGTCAGTCAACCAACTAAACCACACAGGCGCCCCAAGTATTTTGTAGTGAAAAAATGCATTGTTGTAGACACGATGCTATCACATACCTAATAGCCTACAGAATAGTATAAACATAACTTTTATTTTTAATTTTATTCTTAAGTAAACTCTACATTCAAACTCACGACCCTGAGGGGTGCCTGGGTGGCTCAGTCTGTTAAGCGTCTGACTTCAGCTCAGGTCATGATCTCACAGTTTGTGGGTTCGAGCCCCGCATCAGGCTCTGCGCTGACAGCTCGGAGCCTGGAGCCTGCTCTGGATTCTGTTTCCCTCTCTCTCTACCCCTCCCTGCTCATGCTCCATCTCTCTATCAAAAACAATAAACAAAAAACTCATGACCCTGAGATCAATAGTCGCATGCTCCCCCGACTGAGCCAGCGGATGTCCCCAAATAGAACTCCTCTATGCACTGGGAAACGAAAACATTCATTTGACTTGTTCTGTGTTATTTTATTGTGGTGGTCTGAAACCGAACCTGCAACATCTCTGAGGCATGGCTATAAAACGTGTAAAACTAGCCCAGTATCTGATGCAGCTGAAGACAGTCATCAATAAGTGGGGGAGGGGGAGAATTTACATTTATTGAGTTCCTAATGTGTGCACCAGGTACTCTGCTAGATGCTTCTCATACACTGAATTTAATTCTCTCAATGGCAGGAAGGCCATCCTATGCTCAATTTAGAGGCTTGCACAGGGTCAAGCAGGTAGCACACGGCGGAAACAAGAGTGTCAAGGCCAGCCATTCACACAGCAAAATGAATCTTCTATCTTCCTCTACTGCTGAGCGTGACTGCCAGGCTTCAAACCAACCCAAGTGCCTGGCAGCAACTCATAATCAGCCCACTGTGCCCCGACTGCTCAAAGAAGAGGGTGCAAAGGGAGAACCAGAGACAGCGGGCTCTCCCACACTCCTGAAACAAGGTGTTTCAGGCACCCTCCCAAGTGACTCTTCGGGGCGGCCTCCACCACTGAACGGAGCAATTCTAAGTCAGAAACCCACCTGTTGATGCCAAGGTGAGGTAGTAGAGAAGGGAGCCACATTGGTTGAGGAAGAAGGGCATCAAGTACTGGAAATAGAAGAAATCTGCAGTCAGTGTGATGCCTGATGAACAGCCTTGCCTTCTTTGAGCTTCTAGATATGCCTTTCCTGGGGAGGAGGCGTAGCTATAAGGGCCCAGAGAGTGTTTCAGAGAGTCCTCTGAAAAGGACCCTTCCAGGGCAGACAGCAAGTTACTGACCGAACTCCATGCCTTTGCCCTGAATGTCCCTCCCTCAGCCCTGCTAGTTCCCATCTTCCCCACCCTGCAAATCCCTGAGTGCCAATGCCACTTCCTCTGAAAACACTCCCCCCAGGCTCCTAGCTCCAGCCTCCCTCGGTGGAACTCAAGATGCACTTGATCTGCACCGCTTTCATACCCCTTAGCCCCGATAGGCAGCTGGGTCTGCATTTTGTCTTTCCCACTAGCCTAGACTGGTAGCACTGAGGTCAGAGGTAGTTCTCCAGATCCTCCCATGCCAGGATCCATTTAAGCCCCAAGTCCTCCTTTGGAAAGGTCTGTTGGAGGGACCCCAAAACAAAATATTAGTAACAACAGCCTTAGACTGAACACTACTTGTGTACTAGTTAAGTGCTTTATGCACCTCACCTCACTGAATCCTCACAACGGTTACCATTTATCATTCCCATTTTACAGATGATGAAACTGAGGACAAGTGTCTCATCTAAGAGCTTCCAGCGAGTAAGCTGGTGGGGAGCAGATTCCAACTCAGACTTGTTTGACTCCAGAGACCAAAGTTTTAGCAGCTATGCACGAGAAAGGGGCCATTGACTGACGCACCTCGGTGTTCAAGAAGAGGGTCTTCATCTCCTGCAGCAACTGCCGGGCCCAGGTCCGCTCATGCACTTGGTGCAGGCGGGAGGAGGCCCGCTTCAGCAGCGGCTGTGTGCCACCCCACAGGGCGGCCACCAGCACCAGAGCCAGCACCTGCCCTGGATAGAGATGCGAGTGACCCTCCCCCCCACCAAACTGCAGCCCTCGGGGCCCAGCCCTCCTCTGGCCTCCCCTCCTCAGCCAGCAGCTGCCACATGTCTCCTTCGCTCTCCGACGCCCCGGGTGAGACTGGAGGGCAGGGCAGGCGCCTGGAGGCCGAAGAGATGGATCCAGGAGCCAGGAGTTTGGGGTTGGGCAGGGGTCAAGGTCAAGTGGTGGAGGTGGCGCAGGAAATGAACTCGGGGCACGGTTCGGGAAGCCCCTAGAGTGGCGGAGCCGCCTACCCACCTAGAGACGCCGCCATGGCAACGCCGCTCCCGGCCACTTCCGGGAGCGAAGGGGCGGAGACCCACAATCCGGAAGTGGCGCCAAAGCCCCTTCCGGTCCTACTCACGTTGCTGCTTTCCTCCTTTGACGCCGGCATGGTGAGCTTCCCTAAGTTGGGATGTTAGCATGAGGGCCTTTGGAGGGGTCTGGAGTTGGGGCAGGGGCCGATATTTGGCGCTGACACTCCCGTCCTGTCCCCACAGAAGCCGATCCTGCTGCAGGGCCATGAGCGGTCCATTACGCAGATTAAGTACAACCGCGAGGGAGACCTCCTCTTCACCGTGGCCAAGGACCCTGTGAGCGTCGGCAGAGGGCGGGCCGGCGGGACCTTGCAGCCGGGGCCGAGAGGGGGCGAGTTCACTCTCACTGGGCCGTGGGTGGACAAGCCAGTTTTGCCCGAGAGGGGAACCAGAGAGCGCCCCATCCTGAGAAGTAGAGAGAGACCATCCCGGGAGTGGGTGGACGAGAGCATTTTACCTGGAAAGAACGCAGTCGTTGGTAGAAGGGAGTAGCCGGGAGGGAAAAAAAAAAAAGCAAGAGACCTTTGTGGGAGGGAGACGGAGATCAGGGGACTGGGAAGAGACCACTCTGTGAAAGAACAAAACTATTCTTTCAGGGTAGGCGAACACACCACCTCTAGAGAGGGAAAGCTGATCCTTGAGCTGTGAGGGACAACAGAGGACTCAATGGAGGTATCCCTGGGCCCATTTCAGTCGGTCCTGCTGGGCGCCATCCTCCCTTTCACTGAGTGCAAACAGCCCCTCCCAGCACTGCCCTTTGACGGACCTCCGTATGAAAGAAAACTCTAGTGGCTAAAAGCGGGAGACGGGAAGCCTGCAGACCTGATTTGAATCGTGACCCCCACATCCAATAGCACTGTGACTCTGAGCCTGTCATTTAATCTTTCTAAACTTCATTTCCTTTTTTATAAATTATGGGTACAGATAGTACCTCCCTGGTGGGGTTGCCTTCAGGGTTAAATGAGATTCAAGTAGGGAGCTTAGCAGCTTAGCACCAGTAAGTACCTGATGTGTATGAATGGAGAATTGTTGGTCACTTACATTTAAACTTTTTTAGACCCCATTTTATTGAAGCCTCACAGCTACCCTTTGAAGAAGGCATTATCGTTGTGGCCATTTTACAGATAGGAAAGTAAGCTCAGAGGAGAGAAGCACTGTGTTTGAGAGCTAGGGGGCGGGCTGGGACGATGGCATAGAGATGATTTTGCAAGCCTCCTGACTGCCCTGCCATTTGCCTGCAGGAAGCGGGGAGAATCCAGGAGCTGGTCTTTTTACCAGCAACCTGCTGTCTCCTAGGAGATGAGCAGGAGAGGGTAAAATGTGGCCTCGCTAGCGGCTGTGGAGGGTTCCTGGGGAACAGGAAGGCCGTTGCTCTGCCTGGGATGTTTACCCTGCGTCACTGTCATTAACTCCTCCAGATTGTCAACGTGTGGTACTCTGTGAACGGTGAGAGGCTGGGCACTTACATGGGCCATACTGGAGCCGTGTGGTGTGTGGACGCCGACTGTATCCTTGGCTTTGCTCTGCATCTGTGCCCCCAGGCTCTGCCGGCCACGGAGAGGCCGCCAACTCGGAGTTTGGGGTGCTGTTGCGGGTCTAGGGAATGACATTTGCCTCCTAATCCCCAGTCTGTTCCCTGCTTGGGGGAACATTCAGGACAGATTCCAGTTCTAGATGAGGAGAGTAGAATGCTCCGAGGTAAGAGAGGAAGGAGGGCTGGCCGGGGCTGCATGGGGAGGTGATTCAGTTGGTTTTCCAGGAGGACGGGGGCTCAGTGAACTTGGTCATATTTCTTAACACCCTCTTCAGGGGACACCAAACATGTCCTCACCGGCTCAGCTGACAATAGCTGTCGTCTCTGGGACTGTGAAACAGGTAAGCCTGGATCATTTACTTTTTCCACAGAGCCCACTTTGGATCCTCGGTCCCGTTCCCCCCACCCCACCCTGAAACTAAATAAGCTAAGAAGAAAAAAAAAGAGGCATTGCCGTGAGGTGTAAGCCATGTTGGAGAAAAGCACAGAGCGCTGTGGAAGGCCAGACAGGGGCAGCTGATTGCCTGGGTTGGGGATGGGAGCATCCCGGGAAGGTTTCCCAAGAAAAATGTCACATGAGCTGGGGTTGAAAGCATGAGAAAGAGGTCATCGCCGTGGCACGGACTGGAATGAAAGCATGGCAAGTGTCCTGTCCAAGTCATCTGATCTGTGGGGAGTTTCTGCTTCTTAGGAGATGAAGTAGACAGACAAGAGAGAAGACGAGGCCGGCAAGGGTCAGAATAGGCCCTGAATGCCAAACCCAGGAGCTTGGCTTTGTTCCGTCGGACCTGGTATGCTGTGGAGGTCCCTGCATGGGGCAGAGCGTGTTTGGTTTTAGTAAACTCCAGTGGCCGTGGGGAGCACTGGAAGAACAGACCGAAGACACGGAGCCTATTCGCCTGCTCCATGGAATAAATATTTACTGGGCACCCAGTTCTGTGCCAGCTCTATGCTGCGTACAGGAGACACGCAGAGAAATTCTGAGAAGACCAATACCGCTCTGAGAGCAGTGCCACAGCGGCAGGATGTCGGAGGAGGGATGGAGAGGGGCGGCTGGGTGGCTCAGTCGGTTAAGTGTCTGACTTCGGCTCAGGTCATGATCTCATGGTTTGTGGGTTCGAGCCTCGCATCGGGCTCTGTGCTGACAGCTAGCTTAGAGCCTGGAGCCTGCTTCGGATTCTGTATCCCCCTCTCTCTCTGACCCTCCCCAGCTCACGCTGCCTCTCTCTCTCTCTCTCTCTCTCAGAAATAAATACAATGTTAAAAAAAAAAAAAACAAACTGAGGAGAGATGGAGAGGAAGCAAAAACCCTTGAGCTAAAGCGTAGCCACCAAGGTGGTGGTGGGTTGGGGTCCAGAGGAGAAGCAGTGACTAGGAGGGTAGGCAGGTGTAGAGAGTGTCTTCTCGATGGCATTAGACAAGGGTCACCCACATTCCTGCCTGTTCCCAGGGAAGCAGCTGGCCCTACTCAAGACCAATTCGGCTGTCCGGACGTGTGGCTTTGACTTTGGAGGCAATATCATCATGTTCTCCACGGACAAGCAGATGGGCTACCAGTGCTTCGTGAGCTTCTTTGACCTGCGGGATCCAAGCCAGATCGGTGAGGCAGTGCTGGGGTGGGGATGAGGACCGGGGCTGGGGGACAGGGCGTAGCTCCGGAGCCCAGGGCCTGACCTCCTATCCTGCACGCAGACAACAACGAGCCCTACATGAAGATCCCATGCAACGACTCCAAGATCACCAGTGCCGTTTGGGGGCCCCTGGGGGAGTGCATCATCGCAGGCCATGAGGGCGGAGAGCTCAACCAATATAGTGCCAAGGTGAGGAGGTGGGTGGGGCTCAAGCCCCCCTGAATGATCCCCTTCAAGGGGCAGGACAGCACAGTAGTGAAGAGCAGGGGCTGGGTTCAGATACAGAGTTCACCACTTTGGAGGTGTGTGAATTCAGGGCAAGGTACTTCACTGAGCCTGTTTATCTGTAAACCTTTGCAAGGATCAAATGACATCAGGCCTTCGGAAAAACTTGTCACAGGGGCACCTGGGTGTCTCAGTCGGTTGAGTGTCCGACTTCAGCTCAGGTCATGATCTCACACATTCATGAGTTCGAGTCCCGTGTCGGGCTCAGTGCTAACAGCTCAGAGCCTGGGTCCTGCTTCAAATTCTGTGTCTGCCTCTCCCCAGCTCGTACACTCTCTGTCTCTCGCTCTCTCTCTCAAAAACAAAAAACTTAATAAAGAAAAACTTGTCACAGAGTCCTCTGGATAGGTTAATAATGATCACAAGGAAGCATTTTCCTGCCACTGCTGAGTGCCGGGCGTCATGCTGGGCCCTGAGGACAAAGACATGAATCAGATGTGCGCCCTGTCCCCAGGGAGACAGACTGGCCAACAGCTAACACATGAGTCAGGTTGTGAGTTGTGCCACCATCGAGGTCCCAGCCAAGCACAGAAAGTGCCCTCCGTCACAGAGAAGGTGGCACGTACATTAAGCCGTGAAGAATAAATAGAGCTTCAAGCAAGGGAGAGGCAGTTCCACAGGTGAAAGGAACAGCACACACAAAAGCATGGAGTTGAAGGAATAGGGGGACTGGTCAGAAGAGAGTCTGGTGTCCTTGGGACACAGTATTGGAGAAAGTGCATAGCGACTTGAGTTTTTGAATATCAGGAGGTAAAGGAACTGTGATTTTCCTTTGGGCAGCAGGGACTCTTTAATTGGTTATTGGTAATCAGATTTTTCTATTTTTTTTTTTTAATTTATTTCTGAGAGAGAGAGAGAGAGCATGAGCAGGGGAGGGTCAGAGAGAGAGGGAGATACAGAATATGAACAGGCTCCAGGCTCTGAGCTAGCTGTCAGCACAGAGCCTGACATGGGGCTTGAACCCACAGACTGCAAGATCATGACCTGAGCCGAAGTCGGACACTTAACTGACTGAGCCACCCAGGTGCCCTAGATTTTTCTCTTTAGAAGGCTTTTCCAGGTATAGTCCATTTCAGAGAATGGACCTGAATGAGGCAATATCTCTGGAGGTATGGAGCTCCTGACAGTTGAGAGACATTTAGGGGTGACTGATGAGATGGGGGAAGGAAAGGGGCAAGCCCAGGCTGTCTTGGATTTCTCATTTAGGTGCCTGGGCAGTGCTGGAGTGTACTGCCATAAAGGTTAGTCAGTCACTCAGCAAACACTGACTGTAGTCCACTAGGCCCCACACCTACCTGCAGGAAGGGAATGGAAACCAAAGTCAAAGGTGTAAAGAATGCTTGATGCCAGCGAATAGTGGAGCTGATCTGTGCCTTCAGACAGGCCTGACTGCAAAGCTGGTGCTTATTCCCCGAAATACTGGAGCCACATATGTCCCTACCGTGTGTCCACATTTATGAAGGAGATAAAAATACATCCTTCCCACAGAATAGGTAAAAATAATTCAGGAATGGGGCACCTAGGTGGCCCAGTCAGTTGAGTGTCCAATTTCAGCTCAGGTCATGATCTCGAGGTTCATGAGTTTGAACCCTGCATCAGTCTTGCTGCTGTCAGCATGGAGCGCACTTCAGATCCTCTGTCCACCCCCCCCCCGCCCCCCCCCCACTTGTTCTCCCTGTCTCTCAAAAATAAACATTCTTTTATAAAGTTTAGGCATACCTGGGTATCTCAGTCGGTTAAGGGTCTGACTTTAGCTCAGGTCATGATCTCATGGTCTGTGGGTTCAAGCCCCACATTGGGCTCTATGATGACAGCTTGGAGCCTGCTTCACATTCTGTATCTCCCTCTCTCTCTGCCCCTTCCCTGCTCATGCTCTGTCTCTGTCTCAAAAATAAATAAATATTGAAAAAAATTTTTGTAAGTTAAAAAATAATTCAGGAAAGGGGCAACTGGCTGGCTCGGCCCATAGGGCATGCAGTTCTCAATCTTGGGGTCATGAGTTTAAGCCCCGCAATGAGCATAAAGCTTATTTAAAAACAACAACAAAAATAATTAAGGAGAGTTCTCTGAGGGTCTAGTGTGTGTGAGGCACAGTGCTCAAAAGGCCTTTTAATCATCTAACCAGTGTCTGCAGTGTAGACCAGGTTCATGTCACAACAAAGTCAAACAAGACACAGTCCCCGTGTGCCTACAGTGATCCTCGGTGGTGGGCTTTTAGTAATCTTGTTTTCTAGATAGAGAAATTGAGGCACAGAAAGGTGCTTTGAGGGCAGACTTTCAAACTCGGCTCTTTGTACTGTACAGGCTAGCCGGTTGCTGAGTGGGTGGGGAAATCAGGAGGTGAAGTGGCCCTCGGAGATCTTAAAAAAAAGCTGGACACACAGCAGTCCTTGTGGACCGTGACTCCGACCCTGGCTGGGGAGGGGTGAACGTGGGCGCTCTGCCCTTTACAGCCTGCACGATCTCCAGCGGGTGGGTCACACCACCTCTCGGAACCTTACTTTCTTCCTTTGAAAATGTTCTTCAGGGGCGCCTGTGTGGCTCAGTAGGTTAAGCGTCCGACTTCACTCAGGTCATGATCTCGTGGTTCGTGGGTTCGAGCTCCGCATCAGGTTCTGTGCTCACAGCTCAGAGCCTGGAGCCTGTTTCAGATTCTGTGTCTCCCTCTCTCTCTCTCTGCCCCTCCCCCACTCATGCTCTGTCTCTGTCTAATAAATAAAAAAAAAAGAAAAAAAGAAAATGTTCTTCAGGGGCGCCTGCGTGGCTCAGTTGAATGCCCAACTCTTGATTTCCGATCAGGTCATGATCTGTTCATTCGTGAGTTTGAGCCCTGCATCAGGCTCTGTCCTGACAGGCCTGCTTGGGATTCTCTCTCTGCCCTTTCCCTCGACTCCCTCTCTCTTTCTAAAAAAAAAAAAAAAAAAATAGAAAACAGGTGTCAAGCGTATGGCACAGTGCTTGGCAAATTGTGACTGTTGAAAGGATTAAGTGAAAAGTGCTCTGCCCTTGTAATGTGCTGGTTAATTAATAGGTCCATAGATAAACCGTTTTGTCACCATAAACGGGTATGTTCGTAAATGGACTAGCAGCGTTCATGAAATGTGCATACATGGGCCGGGTTCAGATGTGGGCTTCGGAGGGGGGCAAATGTTGGTTCAGGGGAGACCCAGGCCATCCCAACCCAGACCTCCCCTCCCCTGGCTGGGACAGGGGACAGTATAGAAGCCCCGCTGAGCAGTGGGACCAGTGGAAGTCTGGCCACCCAGAGCCTCACTCTTCCTCTTCCACCTTCCCCAGTCTGGAGAGGTACTGGTGAATGTTAAGGAGCACTCCCGACAGATCAATGACATCCAGTTATCCAGGGACATGACCATGTTTGTCACCGCCTCCAAGGACAACACGGCCAAGGTGAGCCTGGGCAAGGGGTCTGGCACAGGGCTCCCACCGTCCTGAAGGCTTTCAGCTTGCCCGACTTCCCCCAAGAAGACTCCTTCTACAGATTGCCTTCCCCTGTCTTCTCTCTCTAGCTCTTTGACTCCACAACTCTGGAACACCAGAAGACTTTCCGGACAGAACGTCCAGTCAACTCGGCCGCCCTCTCCCCCAACTATGACCACGTAAGGGAACCGCACCCAGGCTTCTGCTGACACCTCGGAATGCTTCCAGCATCTAGGTGTCCGTGGATATCTGAATTCTGGGGGAAATAGTGTCAGCTGGAGAGGAGAGCGAAGAGAAGGCTGAATGATCGGGAGGCCCCAGGGAATAGGCCAGGAGGTGGCTGACGTATCTGTTTGGCCCTGCCCTTAGCATTCTTCTAGTCTGATGTGGGAGATATTAAAAGCTTATGGACTGGGGGTAAGAAACAGAAAATGGACTTGTCTGCCCTTGGGGCCTGTCTAGAGTTTCTTCTTCCCTCCAGGTGGTGCTGGGCGGTGGTCAGGAAGCCATGGATGTGACCACCACCTCCACCAGGATTGGCAAGTTTGAAGCCAGGTAAAGGGGGGGGGCACTTCCAAATCAAAACCCAATGGAGTGTCTTTCCTGATGGACACAAACCATATTCCCAAGACTTCCCTTATGTCTTTGGCTGCTAGGAGGTGCAGCCAGATTTGTGGCCCTCCTGGGAACAGGTGTGTGATCCAGCAGTTACAGCATGACCTTGGGCCCACTCCGAAGCCCTGGACACATCCTCGTATTTCTCGGTGCCCCAATTTTCTCGATTGTGTAATGGGGACAGCGATAATACACTGATCTCATACAGTTGTGCAGATTAAATGCACAAGTTCACGAGCTGGCGCTTGCTGCACAGCATGCAGTAAGGGAGCTAACTATCCAGTCTGCCTCTCCTCTCATTTTGTTCACATTCCCCACTCTCTACCTTCCGTTTGGGGAGTGGTACGTCCACCGTGCCTTGGAAGGAGATGGAGAGTGAATTGTCCCTTCCCACCACCCTCCTCCAGGTTCTTCCACTTGGCCTTTGAAGAAGAGTTTGGAAGAGTCAAGGGTCACTTCGGACCCATCAACAGCGTTGCCTTCCACCCCGATGGCAAGAGGTAGGGCTCTGTGCAGGGAGCTGAGCTCAATCCGGGTTTGGCCTCCACCCCATCACCATGCCCTGCCCCACAGGCTTGCCCCTCCACCCCCCTAGAGGGGCACCCGACTAGCCCCTGGCTCTTCTCTTTCCAGCTACAGCAGCGGTGGCGAAGATGGTTATGTCCGCATCCACTATTTTGACCCACAGTACTTTGAATTTGAGTTTGAGGCATAAGAAGCTTGGATCTCCATCGGGACCAGGGGAAGTTTCTGGGCCAGGACTCACAGAAAGTTTTGGACTCTGAGAAAATAAATTAGTTTGGAAATAAATGGTTTCTGGTGAGAAGTTTTGTGGGGATTGTTATATCATTTTCCCTTCAAGGTGACACCCAGGGAGCTGATGCCAGTCGCAGGTATCTTTATTAAAAATTTGGACCTTCTCCCCCACACACGGACACTTCAGACCTGGAGCTTCGGTATCACGGGCTCTGCTGGCTCACGGGTGCCCTCATCCAAGGTCTGAGGTGCCGAGGGACCTGGAGAGTTCTCAGGAACGCCTCAGGCACTGCCTAAGGAGCCAGCACTTAACATTGGGGCTCAGAGGTTGAAACTGTTGGCTGAGGGAGCTCAATCTTCTTTTTTAGTTTTTGTGTTTTATTTATTTTTGAGAGAGAGAGAGCACGAGTTGGGGAGGGGCAGAGAGAGAGGGAGACACAGAATCCAAAACCGGCTCCAGGCTCTGAGCTGTCAGCACAGAACCCGATGGCGGGGCTCAAACCCACGAACCATGAGATCATGACCTGAGCCAAAGTCCGACGTTTAACCCACTGAGCCACCCAGGCACCCCAGGAGCTCTGGTCTTCTTATCTGTCACTATTTGCCACACCTCCCATGCTGCCCCTTGAAGGTTCAGGCGGGCGGATCCGGCGCAGAAACAGGCCTGAGGAGGAGGAGGACAGATAAGGAAGCTGAACAGAGCGGATAGCGAGCTCCCCAGGGAAGAAGGTGGGGTGGGAGGGTCACCTTGCCAGAGTCGCAGGCTCTGGGGCTCCACGGAGGGCCAGATGGCCAAGGGATTGGGGACGTAGAGTGGGTTCCGGAGTTTCCGCTGCTCTTTTGGCTGGTTGAGCCCAGACCACAAGGAGTGTGTTCGAGTCCTCACTTCACACAGGCATCTGTAGGGAGTGAGTTTCCAGACTCCAGCTCTGCCTTCTGGGATTCTGGATTGGGGACCCTGGTTAGTAGGGTGACAGCCATCCCGGGGCCATGATAACCTCTCCTTTTTCCTGCAAATGTTCTTGCCAGTCAGATCCTGTACTGAGCACTAGAATAAAGTGGAACAAGTCAAAGCCCTAGTTGTTCAGGGGTTCTGTTTAGCTCTGCCTGGAAGCATCACGGAGGGCACACCGAGAATGTGCCACTTGGGCTGGGTCTGTCAGCAGAAGTTCACCAGGTGGGCAAAAGCATGGAAATACTTAGAGGACAGGAGGCTGCGGAGAGCAAGAAAGTGGGAATGGGCCCAAGTGAATGTTGGTGATTTTTTAAAGCTGGTGACGGGAACTATAGCTGTGGGAATCCTAGGATTCCCCCAGCAGCGCCGAGGTGGCACTGGAAGTTAAGCCCAAACAATACGACTCAGTGTTCAGCCTCTACACTGGTACTTCACTAGAATCAACCCTGCAAAGAAATGATTTATTTTGCAGCAACTTTCCCCTTAGGTCCTCATTTTTAAGCTAGGGGTGCACTTGCCCTTGGCTCTGGACAGAGTGGGTAGGTCTGTAGGATTGGCCTCAGACCCATTCAAATCTGGGTTTGCAGAAGTTAGGAGGAAGGGTGGGACTTGGAGACGGGAGGAGAGAACACTCCAGTTTTCCCCAAAGAGAAACTCATTCAAAAGGGAAAGATGGCTTCTAGGGACATAGGTGCTGACACAGCAGCTGTCTGACCCCCGTCCTGTGCCTGGCCCCTGGCCCACCTTGACACCCCCTTAGCTCACCTCTCCTTTTCGCTGTTGCAGAGGAAGGTGCCAAAAGGGGAGGCATAGGCGTGCTCAAACAGGGCCAACAGCAGCCCCTCCCCAAACTCCAGCGACAGCGGAAACTGGCGGCCCAGCTGCCACACGCAGTCCAGGAAGAGGAGAAAGGTGGGTGCCTCGTGCTTGGGGCGGGCATGGGAGAAGGCCGAGTGGGCACAGCGCAGCTGGAAGGGGTGGCCGGCCTGGGAAGGGGGCAGAGCCATGGGCACAAGGAAGCAGGGTTTCTGGATGGAGGGGCAGGGCTGGGGCTGAGTGTCCACTTACCTGGATCCACTCCCGCTCCACTAGTTCCTGGAATCCAGCCATGGTCCGGCTCAAGGGGTCCAGAATGAGCTGGACCAGCGAAGTCACAAGCAGCGTGCTATCCGTGCCTTCAGCCCCATGTACCAGGATGCAGGCCCCTTCCCTGTGGGCCAGGACTAATTAACAGTGGCCAGTCCCTCCCCAGTGGGGGTGGCTGGGCCAGGAATCGAATGGGCCCATTTCTAGGCTGTATGTGCTTACTGAGACTCGGTTGTGTGCCCAGAGGTTGAGAGCCCTGCCCGTCCACCCTGTTCTCTGCCTTGTAGGGCGGGGCCTTACTTCTCCATGCCCTGGGCTGCTAGGCAGGCGGTGCTCAGTGCCTCTTTCACATGTGCCAGCCAGCGGCAGCCTTCTGGTCGACCAAGCCAGCAGTCCATGCTCTGCTCCACATCCCTGCAGGCCTCCACCAAGCACACAAAGCTCTCCTGTAGGGGCCGTCCCCTGCACAAGTGGGAATCTGGTCATCCCATCTCCAGCCCAAGCTCTGGTGAGCACAGCCTGGCAACAAGTGCTGCAGACCAACGAGGGACCCCTCCGAGGAGCCCTTTCGACAAGAGGGACACAGGACCCTTTGGGGAGCTCACCTAATCTGATGGGAATGATTTGGTATCTTTGAGGATTCCCCAATCTGCTGGAGGAGACCCAAGACCCCTTGGGGGAGACCTACTCTGTTGGGGGGGGTACCTGGGGAGAGGTCACTCAACCCTCTGGGGAAACAATGCCATGGGAAACCCCCAATTTGATTGAAGTGTTGACGGTACCCTTGAAGTCGCCCAATCTGATGGGAGCAGCACAGTACTCCCTAGGGAGCCCCTGTCTGACGAGAGAAACACAATACTTTTAGGATTCTGGTATCTGCCCCTACTTCCCAGAAACTGCTCTGCTCAAGATCACCCATGTGACCTCCCCCCAGAAAATCTAATGGAGACTTTTCCAACCCTGTTTAAAAGCCTTCAGTGGCTCCCTCTGCCTTCAGGTTAAAGTCTAAGCTCATAATCGTGGCATTCAAGACCTTTGCTCTGGTCGCTGTCACCCCTTTAGCCCCATCTCTCTCTACCCTCTACTCTCTACTCCCACCAGAGTGACACACTCGCAGCTCCCCAAGCAGGACAAACGGCCAGGAGCTCCGCAGTTCAATGTCCTGCTCTCTAACTCCTTTCCGGCGTCCAGTATAAGGGATGCTTTCTCTGCACTACCTGCACACAGGAGAGGGGCGCCTGCTCTGTGCTGCTGCTGATCACACTGCATCCTAACTGCCGATTTACCGCTCATCTCCCAGCCACCTCTGGGCTGGCCACCATCTCAGCCCCTGGTGCTCAGTCAGCAGTGGCTGAATAAAGGGATAAACGGTTTTGTATTCTGGATAGGGGAGCTTCCTCAAAGCCCAAAAACTCCCTTAGGACCTCCTCTCTGTACTACCAGCACCTGGAGACCCAGGGAATGGGTACAGCTGCGCAGGTCCAGCCCTCGGGGCAGGGCTGGGACCAATGGGGAGGGGTGTGTGTGTGTGTGTGTGTGTGTGTGTGTGTGTGTGTGTGTGGTGAGGTCGGGGCAGGGCTGGGACCAATGGGGAGGGGTGTGTGTGTGTGTGTGTGTGTGTGTGTGTGTGTGTGGTGAGGTCGTTCCTGGAAGAAAGTCCGTTTAATGTAAAGAGACTTTTTCTTTCCAGGCAAAGTTGGGGTGCCTGGAGAGGAGTGAGCTGTCATTGGGGGTGTGCAAGTGGGGATGCCCACCTGGCGGGATGGCTACCCGGAAATGCCTGACAGCTCCTAGGGGAAGACACCCCCTATTCCTACTCTTACCCCCCCCCCCCCCCCCCCCCCCCCCCGTCCACGGAGAGTTCTGTAGGAGAGCGCCTAGGAGAGGATGGGAAGACCCTTCACCTCTCCAGGGGCCGGTGCAGCCGTTTCCAGCCAGGGTAGGCGGCTTTGGCCTCGGTACCGCCGCCGGTCACGCGGGCCTCTTTGGCGGCCTGAGCCGAGCGCGTGTCCACGATGAAGCCCCGGGCCCCAGGGCGAACCCCCGCCAGCACAGCTCGCAGCAGCTCCTCGTCCTCAGCGCAGCGCCTTTTCTGGGGACCAGTCAGCGGCTGGCTGGAACGTAGCAGCACCTGCGGACCCGGACTGCGCTCCGGAAGCCGTAGCCACCCAGCCTTGGCTTGGGGACTCCACTCCCGGAGCCCCTAGGGAGGGTCTACGCACTAGGGCGGGTCTAAAGCCGGCAGGGGCAGGCCGGAGCGTAGGGGCCTTAGCAGCGGAACTCGCCGGGCGCCGTGCCCGGGATCGGGCGTGTAGTAGTCGGAGGGGACAGGGACCCGAAGAGTAGACCGTGGACGAGTCCAGGGTTGACAAAGAAGGGACTTAGCTCAGCGGGCCCGACCGGCCGGGGGGCGGGGCCCGGGATTGGCGAGATTCCGAAGCCCAGGAGAGGGGCGGGGTCAGAGTTGGGGAAGGCCGGGGGGGCGGGGCCTGTCGGAGGCAGAACGGGGCGCGGCCAGAAAGGGCAGGAGCTCGCTGGCCGCCCCGCACGCTGCGATTTGGCCGGACCCGTGCAGTAAAGGGCCAAGAAGGGGCGCAGTTGGTCCTAGGGGCAGAGTCTGGGGAGGGGCGGGCTCACGGTTCCACTGGGCGCGTGGTGGTAGCTGAGCACAGGGAAGCGGCCTCCCTGGCGGAAGCGGGCGCTGCGCGCCAGGGCATCGTCGTCCACTGCGCGAGGCACGATCACCGCGCGGGGGTAACTGGGGCACAAGCTGAAGACCTCGTTCGCCTCGCTCAACCGCCAAGCGTTGGTCTGCGGCCCAGGGAGAGGCGAAGGCCAGGTCTAGGGCACCCAGTGAGTGTCCGGACCCCACGGCCCTTCCAGGCGCGGCGCTCGCACAACCGTGGGCCCCCAGGACCGCACCCACCTCGCGAGCTACTCGCTTGTAGTAGCGTTCGGGTGGGTGGAAATGCCAGGCGTCGCCCAATCTCAAGCCCTTGGGACGGTAGAAGAACGGAAAGGAAGTGATGACCGATTCCAGGGAGGACAGCGCCTGGGGAAGGAAGTTGGGCGATCTGGGCAAAGTCGGAATCATCTCACCAGCACCCTCCCAGCCCCTTTCGCTCCTCAGCTCCCTCCTCTGCACTTACTCCAGGCCACCCTGCATCCCTTATCATTAGCTGTGTTCCAGGGTAACACTGGATGCTGAGTCCCCTTGCGCAGTGGCCCCTGTTTACTCCCCCTCGTTACGGGGTAGGGGTAGTTTAAGGGCCTCGGGTGCACTACTTGTGTACCTCGATGGAGCGGGCGATGTCCAGCGACGCTTCCGCGCCCTCTATTTCCAGCTGCAGCACTCGGAGGTCCTTACAGCGCAGCGTGATGATGCCAGAGTCTCTCGTGACCCTGGGGATGGACGGGCTTAGGCTTAGTGTCCCCCGCCCACCCACCAGGGGAGGAGAAATGACTTTCTTAGGATTGGACGTAATGCAAGGGTGCACGGGCTCCAACTGCGCTTGCCCTTCCCCCTCTTCTCCCGGAGCTGCTAGCTCCCCGACTACGGGGACGCCCCTGCCACGTCTCACCGCTTCTGCATAGAGTCTACGCTGCGCAACAGCAGCAGCCACAGCTCTGAAGTCGCCTGGGGCCCTGGCGACAGCAGCAGGTGGTGGCCGGTGAGGCACAGCGTGCCACGCAGTGGGGGCGACTCCGGACCCCTCAGGAGCTTGGCTTGGGCCCGGGCGGTACGGATCAGCTCCGAGAATTCCATTCCGCCCGAGCCGGGCCTGGGGCCCAGCAGAAAGACAGACCCCGGGAGCGTCAGGCGGGGCGAGGGCGGGTTGCGAAAGGGACAGGAACTGGCTGGGCAGCTGGCGACGCCGGCAGGATAGCTGTTAAGGAGGCCCCTTGGAGGAAGGGATCGAACAGTTGCACAGGAATTTCCCCCTCCTACTGCCAGCAACTCTTAGCAAGGAGCACAGCCAGAAGCTGTTAAGGAAACCTCAATGGCATCATCTGTGAAATGGGAAGAATAGTCTTGCTTAAAGCCCTTTACTTCCTACCTTGGTCGCAGGTGGCACTCAACAATTTTTTTAAAACCCAGGTGCTGCCACACTCGCTGACTTAAAAAAGAAAGAAAAATACCATCTCTTCTCTTGTACCCTGGTGGAAGGGGTTGGAAAGTGTGGGCGTGAAACTGGGAACTGTCTACTTCCTCGCCCTACGTCTGAGGCTGGGTGGGGGAAATCCCTTAGTCCACCTTAAATGCAAGCAGCTGTGTAGCTGGCGCCCCTCCCCCACCACAGCTGGAAATCGCTGCCTGAGGGCGCCCTCTATGGGGACCACTTCTGGTTTTGTCCTGGAAGCCTCATCTCTGATCACTCCATCCTCCACCAAATATGAACTGCCTGTACACTGCACTGGGTCCTGTATTTAGTGAGATGACCCAAGGATGACTGGGGAAGCTTCTGCTCATTAGGATTTTCAGTCTAGCAAGAGACACACACTTGAGCTGGTAAACTACGAGAGTTTAAAGAATTTACTGGAGGAACCATCTATCCATCTATCCATCCATCCAATTATTCTTTCATGTCTTAAATGATGCCTACACTCTGTTTAGTGCTGATTACTAAGAATAAGATTCTTGCCTTCAAACTTCAAAGGGCCTTTTGGTCAATTAGGTTCCAGACGTGTATGTGTGTGTGTGTGTGTGTGTGTGTGTGTGTGTGTGTGTGTGTGTGTTTTGAAAGAAAGGTTTTGCATATACACACACACACACAGAAGAGAAATCATAAGTGGACACCTATAACATAAACATAAAATCGGGATAATCTGTGAAAGGAACCAGACATAAGAGTACAACTTGTAAAATTCCAGACCAGCTGGAATGGGAATTCCTTAGAAATGCACATTATCAGGCTCCACCCCCTCTGTCTCTTTTAACAGGCTTTCAGGAGATTCCCATGCACACTGAGATTTGAGAACCATTGGAAACTACACGAAAAGTGTACTTTCTTTTTGCTGTTAGAAATTACGGTAACATTACCCTTGGGAGAGTAGTGACAGGCCAGGAGAACTTCCTGGATGCTAGTAATGCTCTTTTTTAAAAATCTTTTTTATAGTTTATTTTTGAGACAAGCATGAGCAGGGGAGGGGCAGAGAGAGAGGGAGACACAGAATCTGAAACAGGCTCCAGGCTCTGAGCTTTCAGCACAGAACCAGATGCCGGGATTGAACCCATGAACCGTGAGATCATGACCTGAGCCGAAGTCAGACTGAGCCACCTAGGCGCCCCAGTAGTAATATTCTTTATCTGAATATCTTTATCTAAGTGCATTCAGTTTGGGAGAATTCAGCAAGGCATGTCTTTATTTGTAATATGTGAATTTTTTTGTGTGCATGTTATACTTCAATACAAAGTTTAAAAAGGAAAGAGCTCTGGTTGAAGCCCTGGAAGGGGCAGGAAGAGAGAGGGTCTAGAAGCCCTTCTACAGCTGTGCCTTTATTCCATACACAGTCCTTAAGGGATTTCCATGGGAACCTAAAGTTCCTTAAAGTATAGCTTGAAATCAATCATTGATCTGTCCCGAATAGAGAGTCAGTGACTTGTCCAAAGTCTTGCAGAGCCAGCAGCAGAACCCAGATCTCCTGAATCATGGGCCTGTTCCTTTGTTCTGTTCCTTTGCTAAAAGGCCAGTGTCATGAGTGAGGATGGGGGGGAGGGAGGGACTGCTCACCAGCCTTCTGTCCAATCCCCACCCCCTTAACTTGGGTCTTGGGAAGAAGGCCAAGACTCTAGTGTGAATGATGCTTCTCTCATCCTGGAGCAGCTTCCGTTCTGGGAACTGGGTGTCTCCTTCTGGGCAAACACAATAAAATTCATCCAAGGGGCTGGAGGAACGGGGCTCCTCCTGCCCCCACCCGGATGGGCATCACGTGGCTCCTGAGTTAGCAGGCCAGGAAAATCCCAGCCCTTGCACACACAGCCTCCCATACCCCTCTATTCACCCAGCCTGACACACTCAGCCTTCCAGACCCACCTTGAACATTCACCATCACACATTCCCCGGCACAGTTCCATCACCCTCAGCTCTCGCCACCTCTCCCCAGCAATACTGCCAGCCTTTCCCAGGTTCCCAGAGCTGCAGCCTTGCCCTGTCCCTTACCCCAAACCCACCATGTCCCTTGGGCCACTGAAATTCCAGGCAGTAGGTGAAGAGAATGAAGAAGATGAGGAGGAAGAGAGCCTGGACTCTGTGAAGGCACTGACGGCCAAGCTGCAGCTGCAGACACGACGGCCCTCATATCTGGAGTGGACAGCCCGGGTGCAGAGCCAGGCCTGGCACAGGGCCCAACCCAGACCTGGGCTGGGGGGTCCTGGGGCCCTCTGCGGCTTCGACTCAATGGACTCTGCCCTTGAGTGGCTCAGACAGGAGCTGGTGAGTCGGGTGGAGTGGGTGGTCTTGCAGAGGGCCTAAGGGCCAGTCATCCTTAGGACCCAAGAACAATGGGTGTGGGGAGGGGATGAGAATGGACCTCACCTCCAGCAACTCCCCACTCCTGTTGCTTTGTCCTGGGGCTGAGGAGCCATGGATGGACTTGTCCAATGTTTTATCCAGAGAGCCTTGCCGAAGCAGCATTCCATCCAATCTACCTACTACCGGCTCCTCCCGTGGCTCTGGGGACAGAGCCCTGGCACCAGATATAGGTGGGGAAGGCATGGCCTCCCCTACTCTGGGAATTGATATACCTCAAAGATGCAGTGAAGGAGGCACTGACCACACCGTAGGCAGAATGTGAGGAGGCGAGCATTACATACGTGGCTCATAACCCAATATGTGCAACAAAAAGATGTCCAGGCTCCAAATTGGAGATTCCGCTCAGTTGACCTGGGGTGGGGCCCCAGGCACCTGCATTTGTTTAACAATCTCTCCTTAATTTACTTTTAGAGCGAGATCTGAGATACGGGGAGGGATCAAGCTGGGGCGAGAGGGGGCCGGGAGGCCACAGCCAGTGCGAAAACCCAGGGTGTTGACAGGAAGGGAAGAATGATGAAAGTGGCTGAGGACCAGGCCAGCAGTCTCACGCCCCCTCTCGGCCGCAGCGGGAGATGCAAGCTCAGGACCGGCAGCTGGCGGGACAGCTGCTTCGGCTGCGGGCCCAGCTGCACCGGCTGAAGGTGGACCAAGCCTGTCACCTGCACCAAGAGCTGCTGGACGAGGCCGAGCTGGAGCTGGAGCTGGAGCCAGGCGCCGGCCTGGCCCTGGCCCCGCCGCTGCGGCACCTCGGCCTCACCCGCATGAACATTAGTGCCCGACGCTTCACCCTCTGTTGAGCGACACCTGCGCCTCCTGAGACCTCCTGGGAAGGGGAAGGGAGTGGTGTCCCGGAGGTGCCAGTACCTCGCAAAGAGTGGTGGGAGGGTTGAGGGGTTACTCAGCTCTCCAGAAGCATAAAGCCCCTGCTGGCCTAGCTTGGGGATGGTGGGGGGGAGTTGAAAGAAGGGGAGAGGCTCGCAGATCCCCAAACTCCTCAATAAAGACCCTCTCTGCCTCTCATCAAGGTCTCTGCAGTCATTTATTCAGGCCGAAGTCGCCATGTGTCATCCGTAGCTGGGACCAGGGATTACACTGCAGGAGAGAAGGCCCAGGTGGAGGTGAACAGATGGACCTCCATCTCCCCCTAGCTCCCGCTCTATCTCCCGATTTTACCAAGACCAGAGCTGGGAAAGAACTTACAATCCTACATCACCCCCATGGAAGGTGACAGGTCACCGGGCAGCTGGAGAATGCAGGGCCTGGTGGACCTGGGTTGAAAGCCAGCTCCACAGTGCATTTCTACCCGACCCTGAGGAGGCCCCTGAAGCCTGCAACTGTTTCTTTTGCCCTAAACTGGAAAGGCTACTTCTTACCCCACAAGTGGTTGAGGAGGTCGTAAGTGAGACAACGCACAAGAAGCACTCAATAAACTTGAACTATGTCTTGCTTATCCTTGCTGTCACCCGTGGTATTAGTACCATTGTGCTGAGGCCCAGAGATGGGCTGTGCAAGGCTCTGTGTCACCGGGTCCTTTTTTTTTCTTTTTTCTTTTTTTCACATTGTATCTCCTCAGCCTTTGTTTCTGTATTACCCTCTTTGTCTGACTTTCCAACTCAGGCTTCCTCTTCCCCCCACCCATTTCCTGTCTCCCCCTTCCCTCTGCAGCTGAGGTGCAGGCCGCATCAGCTTCCACCTCACAAACCCCAACAATGCTCTGTGGGCTCCCCTCCCCCAACCTGTTCACTAAGTGTAGGCTCTGGTGGCGGTGGTGGCGGTGGTGACGACTGTGACACATTTATGTTTTCCCTCCGGGTGGGGTCGAGGCCCTGCTCTTGTGCCTGAGAGAGGCCACCCAGGGTTCCTCATAACACCGGTGACCTGACACTTAGCCGATGACGGGTGCCACCCTCAGCTTGGCCCCAGAGGAAAGGGAGATTGTTGGCCTGCTTGCCGCTGGTGACAAGGTTCCTGTCTCCTGCCTACATCAGAAAATTCTAGCAGCCCGCTGCCTGCAGTGGGGGGGGGGAGGGGGCGGGGCGGGGCGGGAATGTTTGTCTGTCTCCCACCTGTTGCAGGAGATGGTAGCAGGCCTTGCATTGCTAACAGGGGCTGCAGCCTTGCCTCTCCCTGAATTAGAAGTGTGGCCCTAATTAGCGGGGGCTGTCCTGTCCTCCGTGTCATCTGGAAGACACGGGGCTTGTCCTGCCTGCTTCCTGAGATGGCGTGTTGTCCAACATTCTGTCTGTCAGCAGGGGGTTGGCCTACCCTCTGACTCGAATAAAGGGGTTGTCCCGGGCCCTGAGATGGCGCGACTGTTTTTGCAGCCGTGTTAGCCTGGCATCTGACTGTCACATAGGGTGGTCTGCTCTCCAGCTATTTAACAGGGACAGCGTCCTCTCCTCTGACTCCAAAGTAGTGTTACCTGTGCCCTCTCTAGTCTGCAACGAAAAGGTCATTCAGCTCTCAGACTGTGACAGCGGTGCTACTTGCCTTTCACCAAAAACTGAGCGTGTGTCTGCTTGCCCCTTGCTCGTTGAGGTATAAAGGCTGCCCTTGAATCTCTTGTCCAGGTGCCCCTGGGGGGCAGGAGGGGAGGGCTCCATCAGATACCCTGTCTTCAGCTCCAAGTGCCCCCCTCGGGGTGGCCTGGAGATGTAGAGGACTCCCAGGGGCTGAGGAGCAGGGAGCTATAGCAGCAGGAGGAAGCTTGGGGTGCTGGAGGCTTGTGGTTGGGCTGCTGGGGCCCCGGTTGGCTGCGGAGCCCTTAGGAGGAGGCAGGAAGTCAGGGTGGGACGTGGGCGCGCGAAGACAGGCGGTGGCTACCTCAGCGAGGGGAGCTGAAGCTGTGTGTGCAGCCGGGCTAGGCCAGGAGGACCATGTGAATGGGGCCGAAGGGCTCCTGGGCTGGGCAGGTAAGGAGGATGGAGGGGGGGAGACAGGGTTCTAGGGACTGGGGGGGAGGGGGATGCCCGACTGGGGGAGGGTGGTGCTGCCCCTGGCCACGGGGCTGGGCCCCCTGGGTATTCAGCAGCCCTACAGGCAGGGGGGACAGGAAAGGAAAGCCTCTCTAGAGGTCAGGTGGGCCGCGTGGGGTACAGCTGGAGTGCCTCCTCCCTGCGTAGCCGTTGGCTCTCACCTCTGCCACGCTGTCTGCCTTGCTCCCTCCCTCCCTGGGAGCCTTTTCTTGGAGATCTGGCACATGTACTGTCAGGTGTCGAAAAGGCCTTCAGAAATCCACAAGTCCAGTCCCTGATCCCACGACGGATGAGCCTCCTGAGGCCCAGAGAGGGCAAGCGCAGCCACTCAGCGAGGCAGAGCCAGGCCCTGGGACAGGGTGGTGGCCTAGGCTAGGAGTGCCCCCAACCCCCATGGAGCAGGGTGATGGTCAGGCTTGAGTCAGGGCACCCAGGAATCCTGCTGATGGCTGGGGCAGACCTCAGTGACAAGCATCTTCAGAGAGAGAGAGAGAGAGAGAATGAGAGAGAGGAGTCACCCAGAGCATCCGGATGGACATGTGAGAAGTGATTTTAGCCTCAGTGACCAGCAGTGCTGGGGAGCTGGGGATGTCTTCTGTTGGGAGCACGTGGATTCGAGAGGGTATCTTTATCATCTGGGATGGGGCCTCCAGGGCGGAAGTACCTGACCAGAGGCTGGGAAGTTGAAGGACAGAGAATGGAAAGGGAAGGACAGAGGAAGGGCTATTTTTATCCCAGACAGGGCCGCAGTCTGCCCTGGGTAAGGAACGTCCACACTTCCATCTGGAACGTTTCCATTCCTGCCCCTGCCAAGTGTCATCGGATGTCCCTCTCCGCCCTTGCTCCCTCTGGCCTCAGCAGCCTCCCCCCAACCCCAACACACACACCGCACGTATAGGGCCAGTTGGTACCGTGGATTGCTCTTCAAACCCCAGGAAGGTGGAGGTCCAGGTAGGCAGAGTCAGCTACCTGCCCACCCCCTCACTTTCTAAGTTTATGGGGAGGGGGCATCCCCGTGTGAGCCAGACTTTCCAGGTTTTCCCTACCCCACCCTCTGCCACTGGAGTTTTTCCTTGACACACGATTTCCACCTAGTCAGTGTGTCCCAGCCTTTCTCTTGTCCCCAAGCCCAATGCCTGCAGCCTTTTGTGGGAGAACATGCTGGCTCTCTCTGTGCTTCGGGGGAAGGGGCATCTGCACCCTGGACGTGCACCCCTCATCCAGCCAGCATGTGCTGATAGATGACTCCGGGCCCCTTGCCCTCTGGACTCAGGGACAGAGGTTCTTCACAAAGGGTAAAGGGCCAAGTGATGGGGTAATAGAACGAGACTCAATGAAGGCTCAAAATACAGGCTTCCCTGGGGTGATCTGGAAGGCTCCCTGGAAGAGTTAACACAGTTCTGAGAAGGACAAAGGCCCATTTTGGAAAGCCCCTATGGCATGAGCCAAGGTCACTGTTCCTGGTTTCTGCGTCTTGGGTACCATGAGGGCAGAGCAAGACCAAACAACAGAGTCGATGGGTATGGTGCAGCGCAAACAACACGGGTGTCAGAGTCAGGCCGGCCCAGGTACGGTTCCGGGGCTGGCGTTTCCTCGAACTGTATTGACTGTGCCTCTCCTGACTCCAAACTCCAGATCACTAATCTGTAAAGAGGCAATAATAAATGTTCCCCTTACAGACTGCTTGTGGGGCTTGTCGTGCACCGGGGTTGTACTTCACACACAGTAGGTGCTTAACAGAGGTTAGGCAGGCCCTCCTCCTGTAAATGGTGCACCAAATGGAGGGCTGTTCACACCCAGAATTACACCTACTCAGCACCTTGGCAGGCCGGTGAGCCGCCCATCCCCTCACACTTGTGGTATGGTTTGCAAATGAGCTTGTTTCCTGTGTACGGTGGGTGTGAGAATTCTAGGCTGAGCCACAGGGTCTACCTTAGAGGACAGTCCCCTAGCAGCCACACACACACACACACACACACACACTCCCTACCCCAAACACCAGACATAGCATCAGAAATGGCATGTGTGCATATGTGGGCAGAAGCACAATCGGGTTCTACACACACAACACACACTGAGTCTTGCAAATCTGTACAACCCCCGCCCCCCCCCCCCCCCCCCCCCACCAAGGCTGATGACTTCAAGGCCAAGCTCGGTCTAGTGGAAGCCATGCTGAGGGCAGTTGGGTGCAGGGTGGGATGGGGGCAGGCAAGACCAAGATAGCATAGCATCCAGGGACGTGGCCTCCAACAACAGACTCCAGTGTTGGCTTAAAGCGCCTGGAGATGCATTTCCAACATTTGTTCTAAAGAACACTTCACGGGGCGCCTGGGTGGCTCAGGCGTTTGGGCATCTGACTTCAGCTCTGGTCATGATCTCACAGTCTGCGAGTTCGAGCCCCTCAATGGGCTTTGTGTTGATAGCTCAGAGCCTGGAGCCTGCTTCTAATTCTGCGTCTCTCTCTCTCTCTCTCTCTCTGCCCCTCCTCTGCTCACATTGTCTGTCTCTCAAAAGTAAACATTAAAAAAAAAAAAAAAAAAGAAGAAGAAGAACACCAGTTCCATGAGGCACCTGGAAAGAAAATGGTCCTCAGGCCAAATCCACATGGACTTAGCTACCAACCGGCCCATATTAACTTCATAGTCAATGTCAGCTTGTAAAAAAGCTTTGAAAATTCCCCCAGAGTAGGGGCCTCATTGATTTTGTCCAGCTCATCATTTCCTAAACTTCTTTGGTCACAGAACCTTTCTTTCCCCTGATCATCTATTCCACACCTACCTTTCTTGAGACAGGGAGAGGAACAGAAGTGTAGGCTGTGCAATGAATCCTCCTCAAACGATCATATCTCTTAGCAGAATGTTTGCATTGGTGGTGGGTTTTTTTGTTGTTCTTTGTTTTTCAATGACCAAATTAGCACATGGTTGTTATAAAAAATTCAAACGAC